TGTTCTCCAGCCAGTTCCCAATCCATCTTCTGCTACGAATGTTTTGGCTCATGAACTTTTACAGAAGACAAACATAGATGAGAGTTGGTTCTGAGGATGAAGTTGTCAGGAAAGTAAAGGCTAGGTATCATTATCAAGTTAAGGACAAAGCCTCTTTCTTCTGTTGAATAAAAACATTTTCCCTTCAGTCATTTGGAAGCACTTTGCTTCTGTTAAGCTTCAGAAGTGAACTACTGAAACAGATCATTACCCTGGCAAGAAGGGCAGATTCTATCCTCAAATTGCAGAAAAAAACCCAAAATGGACTGGTATCATGGACAACTGTTGGATCTTAATCTTGGCACAAATACCAGAATCAATTAAAGGGTCATCTAGAAGACTCTTGCAAACTTCTGGGATTTTCAGACTCACTATGAAATTTTAAGATAGAATAGTATCTGTGTGCTTGACTACCAGCCATTTCATACAGCTCCTTTTGTACGCAGAGTTACTGTGAGTCATGTTAAATAAATCAGTCATGAGAGTCCTGCACTGCCAGTCAGATTTATCCCACAATTAAAGGCTTGGCACAAGGGTGAGAAAACTTCATACAAGAGGTATGCAACCACACAACAGCTGCAACTGTGGGGCATTTGGGTATTCAGGAGTAGAGTAATGTGTTGTTGGCAACATGACTCGTCTCCTAGGAAGCACCATTAATACTTCAGATTTACCACTCAAAAGCAAAGCAGCTTTTGCTAATAGTTAATAGAACTTAGGGAAAATAACTTTAAGGAACCATATTCTTTGTATTAAAATTTTCTTTATCACCACAGGAAGTATGAATATAAAAACATTCAACTAGTATCACCATTGCATGACTCTAGAAATTAAAGGTTCAAAGAATATCTCAGACATTATGAGGCATGATGAAAATCATATGAACAACAATAATTATGTCTGAGTTGCCCCACTGACCAATTTATACATTAATAAATCAATAGTTACTAAAATGTTTTAATTTGTGAGGATTCATTACCCATTACTTTAAGACTTATACCTCTTTACTGAGAGGAAAAGAAATGCAAGAGCAACTCCCACTTAAAAACTTTAAAAAGGAAAAGGAGGAGCAAACAGGAAACAATTAACTTTCAGTATTCCTCCTTCTCCTCGTCCTCCACTCCTCCACCCTGACTTGTCTTTCTACACCTGGCCAAATGAATAGTTTGATGTGATACATATCCTTGCACCATCTCTGATGAAACAGTACTGTTTGCACACATCCTTTCTTCATTCAAAATACAGATTTGTAAATAGAGAACTGACGTCATTTTAATTTGGCTTTGCTCTTAATTAACTAATTCTTTTCCATTAAGAAGAGAGTCTTGGGTAAAGCTCTATATAATGGGAACAGGATGTGTCACCCCCATTTCCTAGTCACTCCTCATCTTGCTGTACTGAGTGATGAAATGCAAAGCCTGACGTCTGCTGAAAGGAGACAGTCTATCTGGATCAATCTCTATCTCACATATGATTTTAAAATTTTCCCTTTCATTTTTAAATCTGAGTCAAGGTTGTAGTTGTGAAAGTAAAGGCTGGTAGGGATGTGTAAAACAGGCCATGTTCCTGCATCCCCACCCTGCTCTGTCAATATAACATAATCTCATCCTGCACCAGCCTTGACATTCCAGTTCTAAGTTTCTCCTCAGACAGCGTGGTGATATTATTGATATGAACAAGTCCACACTTGGCTCTCAGCTGTCAACGTTTTTTATTTTAAGACTTCGGTGAGTCCTTATTAACCTTAAGCACTTGAGGGTGAACTTTAAACAAACAACAGGATTTAGGGGTTCTCAGAGACAGATCAATTTAGCTAATCTTGTATGAGATATTGCTATTACAACTGAGCTATTTTAAAGACTCACACATCTCATGGCAATAATGCACACTACAGCATTCCAAGAGCTGTGTGCTGCACTTTCCTAAATATCAAGGAATAAAATTTTGGATGTATTTACAAATACATTCAAAAAATATATCAATTAAAATATTTGTGCCTAAGGCAGTAGGCTTTAAGATCTGAAAAAGGGGGCACAAATCAAGAGATGAAAGAGGCAAATTGCACATTGTTCCGGTTTCACTTGCAAAGAAAACCTAACCACATCTTGCTTTGCAATGCACATCTCGCAACCTCTAACATGTTAGACTTTCATTAGACACAAACTGAGCATTCTCTGAAGTGACTTTGAAATGCCAGGAATATTTGCATTTATTTGACAACTAGCAACAGTCTAGTTGCTTTTATTCGTGATGCAGACCTTGGCCTAGAGAGGCAGTGAGCACCTCCTGCAGCACTGGGGGCTTTCTGCTCCCATTGCCTGTTCAGACAGCAGTTGAACAAGGACTGAGCTTCTAGCCTACTCTTGAAGCACACCCCCTCCAACAAACGGCAGCTGTCTTTTAACAAGCACTGGAGATACAATGTCAGCATTGACAGAAAAGAAATATGAATAACACAAGAAAGTTGTTTGTTTTTAATTTGCTTTCCCAGCAACATTCTGAAACACACCAACTATTGTGAAAATCCACACAAACACATGCATTACGTCTGCAAAGGCAGGATACATTACATTTCACAATGCCTAAAAAGTCATCTTGAACAGCTGTATGTTCAAGGCCTATGTAGTGGCATTTCCTGACTGTAATCCTTCCTCTTTTCACTCTAGACCACAAGAAGTTTGGTGAAATAGTAGCTGCAAGACACACTGAGTTTTGAGATCATATACTTCCCTGTTCTACTCACCCTTCTTCACCAACAAACGTGACATAGAGTTTATTTCTCTGCAGGTCTTTTCTTGAGTAGCCCATGATCTGGTTAAAGGCATCTTCTAGCAAGTGATCTCTCCTGATGATTAATCTGAAAAGCAAAATAATTTAAAACAACAATTTGTAAACATGTAGCACAGTTGGAAACATATATTTACACTGCAAAGTAGAAGGGTAACTTCGTAGAGAGATATGGTTCTGCTGGATAATTTGATCCAGATCAGGCAACTTCTGTCTATCTTTAGTCTATCTCCCTCAAGGATCTACTTTAGATTTCAGTAAAATGTCTCCCATACAAAGAAGTGTAGTATCTTATTTTTCTACCCTCGTTCTTCCTTAAATTAAAGGCTTCAATGGGAAATGTCCTGAAGTGGGCATTTTCATTAAGTTTAAATTCCTTTTGTGAGGTTGGGCCTCTAAATCAGTCTTACTGTAAGCAAGAATGTAACCTTTTGTATAAAAATCAATCTTGTAACAAGGAAAAAGATAAAACCTTAGGAAAGACTGAATGGTAACTCCAGAATCCCACATTCCTACATTATTCCCAGTGTAAGTGTGACAGGATGAAAAGTCTAGAAGGAATGGCAATTGTTTGTCCAAAACCAGACTGAAGCATCGCATGTGAAAACACGATGTAGCTTCTAAAAGAAAAACTGTGAAAGTGAGGAAGTGTCATAAGGATCTAAACTAAGAGGTGAAAGAACTCTCCATACTTAAACACTTTATCTTCTGCAAAAAAAAAAAAAAAAAAAAAAATCAGGGTTTAATTAGTTTCCTGCAACTTAGCTTGCTTTATATTAAAATACTGCCTTATGTGTGTGTTTGATCAGTCAGTCAGACCTAAGCTGGGAGCTGCTGCTGCCCACAGAAAGGCACGTTATCCCTCCACACAGCCTCTTGGACAGCCCTTGCTGGCCTTACTATGTGAGCAGAGCTCAGTCAGTGACTGCACTGTGCTGTCCTGCAGAGGACACAGCAGTGGAGAGGCCAGGAACCGGCCAGGGACCTGGGCAACAACAGGACCCAGGCAGTAGGCAAGTTGTGCTGGGTCCAGGTTTGAAAAAAAAAAGGAGCAGGTCAGTGTATGCCTGGGAAAGGAACTCAGAGAAAATTTCTATTCAAAAGTCAAGCGGTTGTTCTGCTTAAAAATCCACAGTGTCATGGCAAATCGGTCAGGAAAAAAGGTGCAAGAAACGTAATGGATCTTGAGCAAATGCCATCCTCTTCTGCCAGCTATTTGCCTAAGCATTCATGACAAAATTTTCACAGATTAAGCTTTAAGTGATTATGATTTCATTCCATTAAAGGCAGACAATGTCCAACCTCTGCCTCTTAAGACTTTCTAAACAATCCTATTTTAATTCCATTTCAGTTGTGGAGAACTTTTAACAAGGTCACATAAATCGAGTCTGAGCTCCACACAAATTTCTGAAAAATGTGAGAAGTAACTGGCTGGGGGAAATAAAAAACAAACAAACAAACAACCTATCCTCCTAATCTAATAGAAGAAATGGTTAAAAAAGGGTTCTAGTGCCTCCTGGCTACTATGAGAGTATCAAACTATGAGAGTTTGACAACTGGCACAAGACTTGGTAATTTACAAAATTATTATGATGGTCCTTAACATAACACTATGTAGTCACACAATTGCCAAATAAATGAAGGATGGAAGACCTCACTCCAGGGATTCTAGCATTCAGAGTGCTGAAGTAAAAATATAAGCAGTTTTTTAAGGCAATCCTTAGAATTTAACAACACACAATCTTATGAGTCCTCTTGATTAAAGAGGACTGTGATATCAATACAGGCAATGATGTACAAAAGATAAGCCTATCTATTTTTTTTTCAATGGAAAAAGACATGAGAAAATATAACTGTTTATATCATAGCAATTGCAATAATGGAAGAACTCAGATGTCTCTTGTTTTGCATGCTTCTTCCCAAAGCACTTTTTGGCACGGTACTGGTAATATTATTGTATGAAAATATAGTTGGAGGAAACATAGAAAATAAATGCTTAGAAGTTGCTGTATCCTATGCTGTGTTCATTCTGCTATGAATCATATGCTGTCACTAAGTCTTTTATGATGGGCTTTGTATTTCCAGAAGTGCAGGAGTAACTATAACATCTGCATTCCTTCTAATGGGAAGAACCTTGTGGATGTGCAAGGCAAGTTGCCTGAGAAACAAATCCAGTTTCATGAGCTTCTTCAACATACTTCAATTTCCCTGGGCCTTGTCCGTATCCTTTAGTCTCCAGCTTCCTGTAAAAGTTCCTCAGCTTGGCTTCAAAATCCCTTTTATAAGGAGCTGGAGCTCGAGCATTGGCACGCTGAGTACCTGCAGGAAGCAATAAGCAAAGAATGAGCTGTAGTGACATGAAGTGATTAATGTCCCATCCTCTACTGAAAAGACTCTTTAACAGCAAAAGGCATGGTATGTGTTTGGTTTAGTCACCTTTATAGAAAGTTGCATAACTTCAAATCTGATCTGCATCCAACCCTTTTTGGTTGCTCATTTCCAATAGTATCATTTTTCTAAAGTAAGTCTTCAAAGAGCAAATCCAGATCAATGCAAAAGATGGATTAAAAACAGCACAATCAACTGGAAAGACTTAATTTTGTTTGTCAAGTACACTTTACATCTAACCTTTAAAATAGCTCATGCAATAAATGTAGTGCTCTGTTCTGGTTTTAATATTATCAGGAAAAACAAGAGCTCAGAAATGAAGCATAAACAGATTGTACTCTGTTGTGCCCCTGTTGAATACATCAAGCTGAAGAAGGAGGACTTTTGGAAAATCCCTAGTAGAAGCTTTTCCTTGGGGAAATACAAGGAAGAAAAATCTTGGAAGAATGGAAAGGCTACCAAATTTAAGTTTGTGGAACTTTTCACATCTGATTGCAGGAAGATGCATCATGGTCATCTAAGTGAATTTATTTTTGAAAAACTGTTTTTGAGGTTGAATTCCTTAAAAGCAGGGAGAGATGAGATCTGTATGCCAAAAAAATTGCATACCCTCACATCTGCATGTACAAATCTAGCATACACAAATTATGTGTTTAGTCTGATCTATTCTGAATATTACAGCCATTAGAACTTCCACTGCCTCCCTGGATAAATTACTTCAATTTATTTGATTGCAAGAGAGTGTGCCAAAGAGGCAGTCAGTCCTAGCCCTTTTACATTCGTCTTCTCACCTCTACTTTTTATACCATTAAATTCCTCCCCTGCATGGCTGTATAGACATCCCCCACAAAAAACTCAGAGGACATTTAAAACTTCTCATGCCCTACAGCATACATAGGTTGCCAACTACTTATCTGCAACTGGTGGTCATCTAACAGGCCCATAATGCACTGGAAATACGAATGAACTGTTCAGAAGCACGTACATGCTGACTTATATCTTTTAAGTGACAATCAGCTCCTTATGTGAGTTTTATTTTGGCTCCCTGTGCAAAACTAAGCCAATACAGAAACATTCATTGCTACTATGGGTGAAGGCATGAGAACATAACGTTTTAGGTTATGAAAGAGAGAGAACATGTATCTGTTCAGCCTGTGGGCAGAGACCAGGGGAAAAGAGAGCAGCTTGCTCAGCCACAAAGCGTATGGGTCTGACGAAAAAGGTGACAATGCATCCTGCGGAAGTGGCTGCTGGAAGAAGTGGCACAGTAGATCTCTCTGCAGAGATCAAAAAGAGAACAAGCAAGATCAGCATTAACCCTGAATGCCATTTACAGGTCTTTAAAAGACCTGTCTGACCAGAAGGGCGCTTGTCACTTGTTCTAGGCTGAGTGATGTGTGGGAAGAATAGAAAGTGTCAGGGAGTCCTCAGAGCTCCAACGGGAACACACAGGACCCCTCTGGAAAAAGAAATCACAGTCATTGCGTAATCTATTGTGGTTATCCTCTTTTACTGAGAGCACCAAGGACTTCCAATGGTACACTCAGCTGAATTCTCTATCAAACATAAAGAAACTTGAAACTATAAACTGCCTTTTAATTATCAGCCTTTTCCCCCTACTTTGTTTAGTTCACTTCGGGTCAAAGGAGGTATAAAAATGTAGTCACCAAAAAAATGCAACAAAAGCATACTTTAATCTTAACCCCTGCAGGAAGTTTTTGCTGAGAGATACTGCAGAACATAAATCTGGTCACACATGACTTCACGGTTCAGAAATCAGCAGTATATTATTCCATCAGCACATGACAAGTCCTCATTGCAAATCAGATGCATATGTCAAGAAATTCCTGGGCAATTATAGTGATTACTTCCACCTTGGGAACAAAAGATGTTAATGGAAGAGCTAAAAAATGCCCATGATGTGATAATCATATTTGATTTTCAAATAGGTTATATTCTAAAGCAGTTATAAAAAGTAGCATCATGACTATTCATCTTTACCAAAAGAGAAAGTACAGTCAATTGTGACAGATATGAACAATAGACTCTTAACATGCAACCTCGTGCAGTGCAGCACAGCCAGTTTAGCTGACAAAAAACAGAGCTTCCATAGAAATGATGGGCTATTTACAATTTCTCATCAAAAAAGTCATTTGTACACCAACACAAACATACATATTGGCAGACTGACAGGGAGATTCAATGGTCTCTCTATATTTTTCTATTAAACAGAATAGAGATTACAATTTTAAGGAGAATGGGACTAAAACCATCACTGTTCATCCTTTACTGTGTGCTACTTCTTTGAGGAACAGATGTTAAAGACTGAATGCATTTTGAAATTATTTTTTTGGAGTGAAGCTCTGCCCAGCATGCTTTGGTGCATGTATTAGCAATGAAGAAATTACAACTCTGAAAGCCAGAACTGTTTTTACTCGTAAAAGACTGCCAGGTTTGCAGTTGGAAATAAGATGCATACATGCAGGTTTTATTCTTCCTTTTCAACAAAGGGAAACAGTTATATCTAAAGCATTTATATATCAAAAATATCAATACATGTGAGTATTATATTTTGCTGCTTTGCAGAATGCTATAAGACCACTACATTCTTCAGATAGTTTCTTTGAATAGGTTCTACAGAGGTCCTATGTCCAGCAGCAGGAAAAGCTATCACTCAGGACATGTTTATGAATGGTTTTAATCTGGTTTCTTTAAAAGGCAAAGCTTTTTATGATTGTGGACTGGGAAATGCCCATTAAAAAATCACAGTACTTTTTGTGATAAAATTTTCTTATTGTCTGGAACTACCTAGAGTTGCTTACATCCCAAATGTTCTCTGCTTATCTATACTTTTGTTCTCAAATTTGTAGAAATTCCCTTAAGCCACTTCCAATTTACTGCAGTGATTTTGTTTTAGTTACCTATTCTCTTCTTGAGAAAACTAAGAACAGTGACATTGATAAACTTCAGACTGCTGTACTTAGCCTTCAGAGGTCAAATGGAACTTGTCATATTTGAACTAATTCAGTTCTGATCTGCAACTTAGTTAATATGTGAAATATCAATTTCATTCCTTTCTGACGTGTCTTTCCAGACAGCTGCAATATGCTATCTTTTGAACTCATGTTAAGGGACAACAATTTGGCTTTACATAAAATTGTCATTTCTTGCCTAACAGCCCCATTAACAATGGCATTTTAATGTACAGTTATTAGACCTCATATTTTTAATTATCTAGGCATCAGGATCCTGGCATGAACAGTCACTTAGTTGTTTCGCATCAATGAAAAACAAGTTTGCATGTTTTACAAGTCAGAACAAAATCTACTGGCAAAACATCTTGTGAGCCCAAGGCAAAGGTTCAAGTTTGACAGTCAAATGCAATCACAATTGTTGACTTTGCTGAAAAGTAGGACTAAATCTTTGTTGTTGCTGGAGCAAAAGAAGTTGCATCTTCAGAAAGGTGGAAAGTCATTACATGTAGCAAAACGTAAACTAAACTAGCTCTACTACAGTATCTTACAGATACCATCATAATGAAAGTGCTGCAGTGACAAGCTCACTGACCACTCAGAAGGTGCTTCAGCTCATGTAACTTTACCCATGTGAAAACTGGGAACTGCAAAGGGGAACAGGTTATAGTTTCCAAATAGTAGGTTCTTGGCTTTAGGCTGCCAACAATTTCAATTTGGAAAACAAACAAAAAAACTATAGTCAAATAATTTTTATATTGCTTTTGTTCTCTGACTCCTGGGAAGGGAGCAGGAGTGTGCTACTGACTTTACTGACCAGGAACTGATCCTTACGCAGTATGAGAAACGATTTTGTACAGCCCCTGCCAAAGCTGTGCCTGAGCAACTTACCTGGAGAGTTCTGAGGCGAAGATACTGGCGAGCCTCTTGGGGACTGGCAATAACTAGGATAAAGTAAGGCATGTGGTGGCACATATGACATTATCTCCTCCTCAAACAAGCTGGCAAAAAGAAGCAAGTAAGAAATAACCTGTTTATTTGAATGAAGGGCATTTTGCATTTTCTAGGAATAAATCTCTAGTTACTAACCTGCTTACTTCGGTAGTCACTTGCCTATTTCCACTATGGACACTTGAGTGCTACAGAATATTTTATTGCCATTCTCCCAATCAGATCGTGAAAGTACTGGAAAGCAGCAATTACTACACCACTATTTTAACTTAGCCCACCTTCAATTTTACACCAGTGTTTACTTACAGTAAGGTCACAATAACTCAGTCCAGTCTTGAGGTATAACATCCAACATTTTAAGAAACTAATGTATGCACAGATAACATTTTATCAATAATATGTCGTCAGGGCAATATTATTATTAGGTTATTAATAAAATGGGAAGAAAATCCTCAAGCAATACTTTTCAGTTAGATTTTTTTTGGGGGGGAAAAGTAGATTATGAGAAATAAAATCTTAAGAACATGATAAAGTTATTCTAGGGAGGCAGTGCCTACTAATTTTTGTTTAAAATTAGTCATACAGATTTTTGCTTTTCTACAAAAGAGAGATTGCAAACAAAATTTTGAATTTGCTTTATTTCTACTATAAGAATTATTTGCAGCCTTTGCTGTTAACAGAACGTGCACTAGAGGGAATAAAACCCAGTCAAAGAGCAATGATAAAATCATTCATGCAATCTTTATTTAAAAACAAATAGCTGAAGCCAGATTTTTTTTGCCTAAAACCTGTGTCATCTTGATGCATTTTATATATAAAAAAAACTTTAAAAGTTTTTTTAAGAAACAATATTCTCATTTTTAAAAAGCTTCAGCATGGCTTTAAAATTAGATTTTTTTTATAACTGTAATTAATTCAGAGATTCAGGGACCAGAAAGGATTATCGTTATGCAGCCTGACCTCAAAATACTACTACTAATGCCAACCCTATTTTCAGCATGGCTTTAAAATTAGATTTTTTTATAGCTGTAATTAATTCAGAGATTCAGGGACCAGAAAGGAGCAGCCTGACCTCAAAATACTACTACTAATGCCAACCCTATTTCACTAGACTCGATTTTACATGTACTCATTAATTTCTTGATGCATTTTTACATTGGAAAATAATACAACATGAAGATACAAGGGTTAAATTTTAGAAAAAAATTTGCCTGATTTTTTGAGTAAAATATTAAAGAAGCAGCTTCTCATTTCTTGAACTCTGTAACCATGTTGCCTTTATTAACGAAGCAGCCAGACATTAAGTAATAAAAACACATCCCAAGTATGTACGTTCACAAATACGGACTTCCAAAACCACAGAGCTAAACAGATGCATTATTGAAGCAGTAGAAGGCACATTCTTGCAATTCACAAATACGGACTTCCAAAACCACAGAACTAAACAGATGCATTATTGAAGCAGCAGAAGGCACATTCTTGCAGACATCTAAACTGTACCACCTATCTAAACATCAGAGCTGGCTGCAATGGGACAACACAAGGCGGTCTGGGCAAACCCCTATAAATCACAAGCACAGTGCTCTTGCACTCGTCTCTCCTCAGACAGAATATCACATTCCATCACCCCTATGAAAAAAAAAGTGACCTCCAACTACCATCTAGAAACTGAACATGATGAAAATAAAAAATCTGACCCTTGAGTCGTAGCTCTCCCAGCTGCAAGTCCAAGCACTGAAGGGGAAAAGGTGAGGTCACTAAATCAGCACACCCTGCTCACTGAGAGGCTCCTCAGCAGCTGCCACAGCATATTCCACATGTGTATCAACAGCAGCAGTACCTACCTGAGTAACATGACAAGGTCTGCATCACTGGATAAACGCACCAGCCCAGGTGTTCCCTCCGTCCGGATGAACTGGATCTTCTCCCTGCATAAGCAAAAAAATACTTCCAAAATATCTTTTGCAAATAAGACACCAATGTACACCAGAGCAACAAGAAAAAGTACAGGTATATCATAAAAACCTCTGGGTTATGCTTCTGTGTTTCAGAAACCATGTCCTGCCACACCATGTCCATGTGAGAAGCAAAATGTTACAACCAAAAAGCTAATTTGTTCTGAGGAACTATTCTCCTGTTGCCCTCATCTCTTCAATGCTCAGGCTGCTTCAGGTAGTACAGCCATCCAATCCGTAAAAAAAATAATCAATCAATCCTTCAAGTTCATGCTGAATTGTGTCCCTGAATTCAAAGCAGGAGGCTGAGCCCTGGGAGGACATTACTATTTTGAAAGTGAACTGTTTAAAGAGGTATTGTCTTTTTTGAGCCTTGTACAAACGCAAGCCATACATTACAATGCACACTTGTGATTTTAAAAGCGGGGGTTTTGGAACACACTGCATTTAAGAGATGTTCCAGAAAAACCCTTGTACTATTTCTCCCCCTCTGTCTCACCCAAGCACATACCATTCCTCCCAGACCCAGTTTGGTCACTGTGGTGGAGTCTATGCATCCTAAACTCTGAGCATAGTAACATACAGATTTTCAGGATCTATACTGAATTATATTCAATATGGTTGATTCTTGGTTTTTTTCTCTGTAGTTTTTTCATGCATTCTAAAGTGAAAGTACATCCCTTTTATTTTATCTCTATCAGTACAAGGTATATGATGGTAGAGAGAAATTCTGATTTGGTTTTACTTTTCAGGAGGAAAAGAAAACAAAAACCAAGCCCATGCAGTAGAAACTGTTCCAATTCCAAAGGAGAAAAACCCCAAACAAACAAAAAGTGAAGAACTCCACATAAGCACAGCAGCATTGGCTCAGCTCAGAGGTCCATCTACCCCGCTGTCCTATTACCAATAGTGACAAGAAGGTCACAAATGATCCCTGCAATCGGCACTGTAACAAGGCCGCTCGCACATCGCTTAAGCTGCAATATGAATTTCTGGAACACATCATTTCATGCACAGCAGTTTCAACAGAAGGATCAAACCAAATTTCTTGCCACCTGTCTCTAAAATCACTGTGCATGATGACCTTCTCAAACAGTGGACCTCACACACATTCCCCGGTACCTTGCACTACACTTACAGCATACTCAGGGGTGAAAAAGGGGCACAGCTAGGCTGTGCCCGGAGCCCCCAGTCCCTGCTTGCCAGGGTGGCAGTTGTGGCAGTAGCAGGAGTGTGTAATTCAGTGTTTCTCTGAAAGTCAAGCACCCGCTTTGTCAGCACTGCAGTTGCAATCAGTCAAGACTCGAGTTCAGCCTGGAAGCCCCCTCGTTCCGCTCGCTCAGCGCTGAGCCAAAGCCAACGCGCGTTGTCCACCTGCCAGCGGGGCCCTACAATGCCCAGGGCCTAGTCCAATTCACATCAGTGTCTAAATGGCAAAGTTTGAGGAAATAAATGGTGGATTACAAAATGTATCTTAGCATTTAGTCGGCAGCAACACCAGAAATCAGAAGGCTGTTTTCTGGGTTGACTAACGCATGCAGCCCTGCAAATGAATGCAATCCATGACTTCTTGGGGTTACCAATGAGTTGTGATTTCAATGACAGTTTTTCAAATATGTGCCTTTTAACTTCTGTTAAAATATAAATTATGTTTAATGTGCAATAGGTGCCTTTGCCTGAAGCCTTTTACATTATCTAACAGCCTCTCAGTTTTATCTGTGGAGGCTTGCAATGAGATGTGATCCTGGCTGCATGTTTAATAACAGTATGATAAGTACAACATTCTCACTTCACCATAAAACCTCTGAACAACAATTTCCTACCTGTAGTATACTTTCATTGTATATTTTAATAGACCCTCAACTTCCTATCACATCTCTTCATTCTTTCTAGAAATGAAAAATTATTTTAGACAGAAAACACAAGAGATCTTTTCAAATTATCTCTGTCCTCTTTCGCTGGTCAAATACTGATTTTCATCCTCACCGATGTAATAACTGTAATAGTAATAATATTTAATATCATCATCAGTCTACTTCAATTGCACTGAAGTCCTCAAAGAAATAGATTCCAGACAGCTGTACTGATCATAGCACAAAAAAAAAAAAAAAAAAAAAAAAAAAAGACAAAGAATTCATAGTGTGGGATTTCACTTAGGTCTTAATTCATCGAGTGTTACAGCAATGTCATTGGTATTGCTTAGTCTCACAATGTGTCAAATAGACATGGATTCCAATAACTTGCTAACTGATACCTTCATAAAAACATAAGAAATGTTACTAAATCATCAGTTCTAAAAGAATATAAGAGAGGTATAACGGAAGGTACTTTAAGCAAATACATTAACTTCAAAGACTAAGGCTACAATGGAATAATTTGACTTAACAGAATGGCTTCTCTGACCAATCCTACTTAATGTAAAATAAAACTATGGTCATTAAAATGCTCAATCATTCTGCTAGAGCAGGTAAATTAGGCATAGATCTTCAGTCTGTTTACAAAGTAAGCATACAGGATACGTAGTCTCAAGTAAATTAGGAGTTACAGAAACCAGTATCTTTTATCCTTTGATTTTTCATTTTTAATCTGAAGACCATCTTTTCTTGAGAAGGGCTCAGCTTGTGGCAAATTATGATTCTGTAATCAGGAAGCAACGTTCTACACAAAGCAGAATCTGATAATACCAACAAGTCTTTTGAACAGTCTGAACTCCGAATTACCAAAAAACCACAAAACACATGAAGAACACTCTGCTATCAGAGTAAAGGAAGCCAAGCACCCCGGGGAAAGGAAAAAGGAATAAAAAAAACACCTAATAATCAGAAATTGTTTGCATACTATTTCCCAACAGATTCGTTTGTTCACATTTCAAACCAAGCCTGGTGGGACAAACTTGTCTGTAGTGATACAGGTGCAACATATGAACTGTTTTGACAGGCTGAGAACTGTAGATTTTTGTTTTGCTCCTTTTCTCTGTATTTTCTAGAGAACATGTATTCTGCTAGTATGTCACTTCAGGTTTGTCAGCCAGGATTTATTTAAAGGGTAAAACAAATCTTTAACATAGAAGCCTCATCGCAAAACTTGTTAGAACACAATACTTTGGGAAACTGCAAAACAGGGCAGCTTCTTGACTTTTGGGAACTTGTAGCATATGGAAGAAAAGGGATCAATAAGCAACACTATGAGAACAGAAAAAAAAGAAAATCAGTGCTGGCTGCTATGCCAGCCAGTGTGGATAGGCATCTGGAACACAGAGCACTGCACTGGCAGCTCTCTGCACAGGACAGACTACAACCATCAAACCAGCATTTTTTAAATTTAGTGTCCAAGTGCCTCACGCTCCCAGCTGTACGCATACTCAATTGAATGGGCACATTTGCCATGCCATCCAGCTGTCTTGGCACATTTTGAAGCCATCAGCAAATCTCTTATGCCAGTTGTTCCAAACATTTTCTTGTAGGTACTTTTATTTGGTACTAACACATTACCACTGTTCTCCTAAACCTTATTTCAGGGAGTTACACAGAAATACAATAAAGAACTATTTCCCACAGCTTTATGAATATGTCTGAATAGGACAAAAGTTTACAATCTGTTATGTTCCACTGCTAATTTTTATGAAAGAAACTAACTCTAGTTAGCATTTTGTAATGAAATGGGAATAGCAAACTTCACTGATTTTATTACCTGAGTGAATGATTCCTGGTAAGATCTGGTTGACGCTCTTGTAGAATTTCAAAGATATTGGGCTGCCGCAAAAATGCAACAATCTTGTCATTGTAAGCTGAAAACATCAACAAAAATATCATGCTGAAACAAGGAGATACTAAAAGACAGGACTGAATTCCTTCTGAGTTTTGAAAAATAATGACAGCAGACTTCACCTTCACAGTTTTAAGTTTAGCAGCATCATGTTAAGAATTTTTCATGTCAAGCTACTGATTCTACTGTCATTTAGGGAACACGCTTCTTGATTACAAACCAAATCACATTGGGACACGTCCTTTCCACTGTTAGCAGCTCTAATTCTTTTAGCAATTTCTGTTATATTTTATCACTCACACTCTTTGCTAAGGTCAAACTAGAATATTAATTACTAGAATAAAATTGCAGGGACCTTGGTTTTCACTGCACTGAAATCCAGTCTCAAACATTAAACAGTCGTTGGAAACACCCATTATCAAATCCTCCCTAAATGCTGAGCCTGCAGTGTATGCATGCCATGCCCATGGCAAGGGGAAGGATTTAGATTAGCAGAGATTTTCAAGTAAACATGCCACAGTACAAAGAGCCAGTTATAGTCAATCGGATTAATTTATCTTGATTTAGCACAATGTGACAGCTGTTAGATTCAGTAAGCTAAATTCTGTTCTTGGTGGCACAGAAGTCAGTAACTCTGTGTGTATGTAACTGAGAACAGAAGTTAAGCTATCTGCAAGCTGATTAACACTTCCTGCCAAAACAGATGCTCAGAAGTTGTACAAAAATCACTGAGAATACATGGAGTCCAATTAGGACACAACTTGGCTTATTGGCTTCAACTCTTCCTGTCACTGCGTTGAGTAAGGGTGCGCAGAAGGTAGAAGTTTTACATCAGTTATTTAGTTGTGCGCAGACACTTTTCAGTAGTATTCCTGGGGGTTGCAACTGAACAATTGGGAAATGCTAATGGACAGAAGTAATCAAATGATAACTTCCACCCACCCCAACCAAATGAAAAACCCAGCAGTGCACACTGACATGAGAACTTCTCTGAAAAGACGCTGTATGCTGACATACCCACTGGAACCACATCCTGGTACTGAGCTCTGCTGACTGTATTGAATGTGCTAGACGGCCTCGGCAAAACTGGCGGTCCTGAATGACGGGAGTCCTCTCCGACCTGAAAATGTGCAAGTAACCACAATGAGTGCGTCTCTGTGGCAGGATATGTACTTGGGTACATAAAAGTGAGAACTCATGGCTTAAAACTAAGCATGTACGTAAATGCTTTGCTTGATCCTAGTGACCACTGCAGCAGCAATCACTGTGTTGTATGACAGTTATTAGTAAAACATTATTTAGTATACTATACCTGTTAATATGAAGAATCAAAAATGAAAGTTTATTGCTATTTTTAAATAATAGACCCATTCTGAAAAGGAAATAAAAAATTAAAACTAGGATTCCTTCAGAGGGTCTTTTATACTTCATGGACACCTTTATCCATATCAAATGTTCCGAAAATCAGATTCTGCTCCTTCATTAGCACCTCCATTACATCTGTGCACAAGTGGAATTTCCCTAAATTTCAACTGGAAACAAGCAGGAGGATAAAAAAGCGAGTTTACATTCAGGCAAGGCAAATGAGTCCAAAACTGGTCAAAATACGTTTCCTACAATCATTCAGTAAAACTGTTCTGATTTTTTTGTGTTCACTTTCAGGGATTAAAAAAAGGTTGTATGTGAACATTTTTTTAGGGTAGAACCACAATCTAACATTGTTCCTAGTAGCATTTATGATGTCAGGGCAACTTCTGCAGTTTTCTGTGTGTTTAGGCTTCAGTAATTTCTACATTGTCAGTATTTTGTATTTTATCTATATACACTATCTTGTTCAACCTCTTTTTCATCCTACTGGACCTTTATGTTTACTTCTCAGTTCCTCTGCCTACATGTAATGGTTAGAATTTGAACTACATTCCAAACTTCAAAGATCTCTAAAACATCCAACTGCAAAAGATAAAATATTTTTAAAGGTTGTTTTTAAATCCAGTCTCTGAAATCACAAAGAAGAAAAAGTCCTGAGATAGCTCCCAAGATCTTTGTGCTCTCTTGTAATACTCTCAGAAAAATGGAAAATTATTTCCTGTAGGCATTGTGCTGGAAAAGGAATGTCACTATTATTAGCTCCAGCTTCACACTGCAATTCAGCTTTAGCTAAAAAGGCATTCCTTACACTGGTTAATGTTTGTTTTAGAGCATCTCCCTGTGAAAACTGGGTCAGTGCCTTCAAAACATCAAAGTTCGTGGCAAGGCAAATCCGAAGAAAGTATTTTGAGAATTTTTTTCATTAAGTATTCATTGTTTGAAATAATGTACAGTTCCTTGATGCAACGGTTTAAAAATAGGAAAAATATTGCAAATATGCAATGCTTAAGTCATAAGCACAGAACAAAAAGCGGTGTTCAGATTCACACACATGCATATAGATGAACTTATTACATCATTAACCCCCAAATAGGAATACAGTATTGAATTGCAATATTTGAGATTCCCACCTGGAATTCTACTTCTATTCAATTCAAGTTATAATTGTAGCAATATCGATACTTCTAAAAATTAGAAATACTTCTAAAGGAAATACTTATAAAAATTACATGCAGAAACACGGTTTAAGGAATTTAATGTATCTAGATGGATTGTGACATTTCAACAGGTAATCAGCACTGTGTAAACGCAATACATATGATGACTTCCTGTAGGATAAACTACAGTTATTTTGCAGTATTGACAACTTCAGCAGCACGATTGACATGAATCTCTCAATTTTAAGTGCAGAGTTTCTTCATGCTACCTAAAGAAAGATAATTTCAGTGTGTATTTGGTAAAGTTAAGAAAAATAAATTATTTCTGCTCTGTTATAAATCAATCACAACAGAAATACATGCTTTACCCTATCGAAGATATAAATAGCTGTACGAAGACACTTCTGGCTTTCTTGACTGCTGTAAGACATCATTGCCTACATCATATCACCAAATTGACAGAAAATGCTATTTAAAACCATTTGTAAAATAAACCCTACGTTGGGGTTAGAAACTATCGTGGGTAACTAGACAATGTTCACACAGGATGTGACAAGACACTCAGCCAGCGGTATGGCACGCACTTGCTGCAGCTCAGCAGAAGCCCTGTTAGAGAAGCAGCAGAGAAGATTCATGCCTGCTCTCAAACAGAACTCTGGCAGAACTTCATCTGTCAAGAAGGTTAAATCAGAGCATTTCTCTTGCCATTCTAAACTGCATTACCTTTAATTCCTGGCATGGAATAGCCCTCCCCTGAAAAGACAACTTACAGCCAACAGTATGGAGTAAATAAAGTAAAACTGAAGTGTAACATTGTACGTACACTTGCTCACAAGTAAAAAGAACTTACAACAACAATATGGAGACTGCCAGTGAAAATGGTCCACAGTGACATATCAACAAAATAGTGCTTTCCATGTATTTCTGTTCAGCAAGTAGAGATGAAATACATATGCAAATGCATTAACAGTCTTATAAGCCTATATGTGGTAAGATATTTTTATCCTTATTCAGAAAGACGCACATCTAAATATATATACACACACATGCGCTTTTTTTTCTTCCCCTTTTATTTGCAGAGTTCTATCAATATACTTGGCAGACACCATGCTAGACAAAATAAATATTTTGACGGTAAACAACAGGATACAGATACTGGTAATCTGTAATCAGATGCTCTCCTGTGGTTAAATGGGGTTACTGTGAATTAACAGTTAGAGAAACTTTCTGATACTTTTTACTCTGAAATCACACATTGCAAAAGCAACAATGGCTAGCAAATAAAATAATAAATATTTACAGATGAGTAGTGTATGCTTACAGAAGAATCATGCTCCTCAGAACACGGAATTGTGAAGGGAACAATTTGAAAGACGATGATTCTAAAAATCTGGTGGTTCCTGAAGAGAAGGGGCAGATCCAACTCACCTCACCAGCACTGTGGCTGCGTTGCCTAGTTAAGTGCTGCCGATGGACTAAAGCACTCGTGGGCCTGCTACTCTGCAAGGGAAGCCGGGGGTCAATGAACGTGGTAGTGCGGGAATTGTGGTCAACAAAGAAAGCCTAGAGAAGGAGAAAGAAGAAGGAATTTATAGCCAATACTTTTTTTTTTTTTTTTTAAATATGTCTGAGGTTAATGTCTATTCAGGATCTGCTGACAGGAGGCTTTGGAAAAATCTTCCTCACATTACTGTAGCTTGCATTTCCCTCCAGCAGAAGAGGGATAACAGTTTTCCTTCTCACTGAAGGGATGCATTATTTAATGCCTTACTTCATTCATGTCTATAAATCCCTTTGAAATTATCATCTGACAAGCATCAGAAGCAGGAAGCTTTATTATGATTGTCAAGAAGAGAAGACTTAAATGTTTAATAAAAGTAATCCTGGTGTATTCTCCCTTTCATTTCCTTATAAGCATCTAAAAAGATGTCATTAAGTGGCAAAATCATTCCCTTTTGTCAAGTATTTACCGTATAATTATGAACACAATTAAGTGTATAAATGTCAAGTGTATGATTGCATCCTGTGATGAACTATGATTACAGGCCACCAGGAATTTTTTCCATCTTGCTGTTACAACTATTCTAAGTTTGCTAACCTTAAAAAAACCCACAAAAACAAAAAGCAAAAAAAAAAAAAAAATGAACACCAAACACAAAAAGAAAGGTCAGTCAGGAACACAAAGATCATGGCAACAAGAACATTTAAATCAGGCAACCAGTAATAACTACCACATATTGGCCAGTGAGTCATTTGCTGAAAGCAAGGTCACAGGAGCACGTATCCTGGAAAAGGAAAACCTCCTACAATTCTGTCCAATTTGAACCAAAAAGGTTTCTAAGCCCTGAAATTTAAGCTTTTTCCAGAGTTAGTGTTGCACTTGGAAACCAGCACTGTTCTATTTCAACACATTTTGGTTTTTCAGTCACAATGCTGGAAACATGTGGAAGTGGCAAAAAAAAAGATCCCAGTTTTGAGCAGGAGGGTTACAGGAAAGTGACATCTGGTTTGAGGAATCAAAGAATCTGGACCAGCAGAGAGGAGGCTGGGGACTGTGGGAGCCATTTCTGTGTTTGGATACCAGTGAGGTACTTTGACCACAGTTTCATAAACAATTCAGCCTTGCGGTGTCAGCAAAAGAAACATTCTCATCTTCCCCCATCCTGACCACTTGTTTCATCCCTTGAGCACCCTTCCTGCCTTGTGCTGGCACAAGTGTTTGTGTAGGCATGCAGTGAACCCAGCGGGGGAGCTGCTCCAGGCTAAAATTACTCTCTTTTGCCCCTCTCCCTGCTGGTTCCTCTGACCTCGGTCAGCCCACCAGTGACAAGAGGAGAGCAGAACTGGCTCTTTTGGCAGCGATGCCAGCTTAATATTCATGAAATCATTGATTCAGACTGCTTGGTATAGCCAGAGCAGAGAAAATGCAATTCTTCTGACTGCTATGAAGACAAACCAGTGTGCCATGCTATACAGCAACTAAATATCATTACGGATTGTGGCCAGAGAAAATATTCATAATTTCATTTCAGAAGGAAGGAGAAGCATATGGAGAGACACCAAAGCTGCAAAACCTTTGAAAAGCTCCAGAAGAGTGCAGCAAGCCTCCTACATCCTTAACAGCGATTGCCTGTACCTGTAACCTGTGCCTACAAGCAAGGAATCCCATTACCAGAACCCTAAGGGAGAACTCTGTTTTGACCATCTGACATAGTTACAGATATGCAAGTGCAACTGCTCCACAGTTCAAAAACTAGAAAGTGTATTCAATAAATGCAATTTTAAGTGCAACGCTTGAGTCTGGTGCACAGCTTGTTCACCTTGACAAATAACGACGTCACCTGCAGCGCAAGGATACAGATTAGAGAATATGAACCCAGTGGGAGAGCAGAATGAAAGCCATTTGGAAATTTCAGTTTGGGGCCTGGAAAATGACTGGAAGACACTGTGGGAACATATCCAGGCTTTCTGACAATTTTGCTCCTGATTGACAGGTTATTTCACTTATTAGCAAGTGGTTGGTATAGGGTCTTTTTAATGTCCACGTATCTACTATTCTAGTCTGGTCTATCTGTATTTATAAGATGTGAAGCACTTTCATCGAAACAAAAGTTAATTCAATTAAGTCAACATTATACTGTAAAATCACTTAGAAAAAAAGATACTGATTCAATATAGGAGAAAGTACTACGCAAAGTTGCGCTACAGAGTTCTTTGAGTTAATGTAGCAGTCTAACATTGCATGTAGGGTTCTTTAGCATTACACTTAAATAAACAACTCAGTTTAAACATCAAGTTAATGTCTTATTCAATACGAATGCTTCCAGGCTAGCTAGTAGCAGCCTACTTTAAATAAAGCATAAATTACTACTTTGAAGCTTCGATGAAGGTAATCATTGGAGCTTCAAGGCTTTGGGCTAATCTGGACATCGACATACAGCTCAAAATAGAGTGTGGCTGAGAGTCCCCTTTCAAAAAAAGCCCTGCCGTAACTCCTGTCTACTATAATCCATAAATCATCATGCTTGAAGAGACTTATATAAGATGGGTAGTGCCCAAACCTCATTTAGCCCTTTAAACACAGGTAGTTGCCCAAGTTATCCTTCCAGTTAAAGCCTATGAAGCTTGCTGAAATACGTTTTCTTCCTATCGAAGACATTAGTTATCAATTATAATGGACTCTTTCATCGTAGATAGAAAAAACAAAAAATAAATGTCCTACAATAGCTTATTATGTATTTGCATATCTTGCAGAGGTCTAATTAAAAGGTATATACTTTTGCATCTGGCTTTAAAATATGAACATGTGGTTACACATATTGCACTAATGCACTGGGATGCTTATCTGTATCGTACGTATCTGTATGCACACGTATGCAGCAATGCAGAATTTCAGTTATCAGACTGAGTTCAGCTCAGGGACCTCTCTAGCCTCTGTGATGCTTCCTGCTACTATTTCCAATGGTCTTCTGCCTCCTTGTGGAGGAGAGGAAGAGGGCAACTGGGCTTTGCTGTGCAGCTTTGAAGGGAGTTCAGAGGCAGGCAGGCATTCCCCCAGCTGACCTTGAAAGAGAGCCTACAAAGAGGCCAAACAACCAGCACCACACTGACACAGGGGGAGTAAAAACTCTACTACTCAGCACTGCATGGGGTGAGCAAGAGCACCAAGGCTCTTACTATAATATACTTGAAAAAATAAATTAAAGCCTCATCTCAGCAGGGAAAGGGAATATAACTATGTACTGTGGCATGGCTAATTTCTACTTGCTTCTCTTTAGCTTTATGCTTTAATAGAGGCAGGTCCAGTTTCAGTTTGGTCTCATCAAGCACTGGTCTCACCCTGTACTGGCCACCATCCCTCTTGAGTGCTGATCAGGCTTTTCTACTGGCCACAAGTGCTACTTGTGACAAAGGCAATTCAACATAATGAAAATGAACATTACTGAGCCTAATTCAAAGTGAAGAAATCCCAATGGAGACTTATTCAGTGCTTCCTCTTGTTGATTAATGTTGTGGTAGCATCACTGTTACAAAATCCCACACCACAAATCCAAAGGTCTAATTCTCTGTATGGAGTACTATTAAAGTCAATTGAAAATTGCTGTACTCCTCAGGAGAAAACTGGCCTCTGAAGAACTGAACAGAAAAAGAATGACTTAAAATATAAGAGTGAGAGAGGTAAAGAACAAGGTTAATATAACTGCACATTCCTAATTGTGTTTCTAATGAAAAAACACAGTGCTTTCCAGAGTTAATAAACCCCAAAGAAAACAACCCTCAAGCACTTTTTCTACCCTTCAGTTTAGAATCTGCTTGTGATCTTTTCACACATCAAGATCATTATTTATATGGACACTCATAGCTAACCATACCAAGACTGATAAAGGAAGAACTGAGAAGCTTAATATGCCCACACTCCTAATTAGGACTTACCAAATGAACTGATAGCCTTATCACTTCCTCACTTGCTAATCACCATCTATTTTTGACCCTCCTATCTTCTGCAAAGAAAATCATATTCGAGATAGGGAGGATACACTAAAGTTACATTAAAATTACATTACTACTATAACAATGTCTATTCTTTGATTTTAAAATATTTTGTTAGAAATTGAAAAGTGATAACTGTTTCAAAAAGCAGTAAGACTTGCAGTTATTCAAGATCCCTGTTCATGAAATACATACAATTTCTTTCCTGTTAGTGAATATAAAACCAATGGAGTGATTGTCCCCAGAGGTATGCCAGTCTTAAGTGCATCCAGTTTATCTCAGAAACTGATGAACACTGGACCTACTTAGCATTTGGGTAGGGGACTCACCTAGGAAAAGGATTAGCTATTAAAGAAAATAAGTGCAAATAACGCATGTTAATGAATCCCACTAAAGACTTTGAGGTTGAAGAAGGAAAAAAAAAAAAAAAGCACTAAGGAAAAGCTTGACAGTTAAACAACAAACACCACCAATACAAATGGTTCAACAGTAACTAATTACATTTCAGTAGATAATAATAAAGTAACTTTACATTTAAATTATCTTATGAGTACACAGGCAAAACTCCAAAGAACTTCACTGAACTGCCTGTTATTTACACAGTAGATAATTCTTTTCAAAAGAAGTTTTAAACATCCAAGGGAATCTAATTACAATTTTTCATTGTAAAAAGGCTACAGATTTTGTAGCAATTTTCCTTGTAATGATTAATACCCACTTATCAGTCTCCTTCTCTTTTCACATAATACTTTGTCAGTACAGATGAGAAATTCCAATCTTCTTTTGGCAGAAGCAGGAGAAAAGGATGTGCACCTTTTACATCTGAAGAACTATGTGCATTTATGCTCCTGTTAAGAACAATCAAGCACTCAACAGAGCCACACATGCATTACAGTTACCTTGCCCTGATGGTCATGTTTCATTTCCCAACCTCTCGGCAGCTCCAGCTGTTTGTTAGCAAACATGTTGAGGAAGCCCACCAGATCCCGATTGTGCTGGTAGCGCTCAAAATGGTGGGTGTCCCGCCGGACTTTGGTGATCATGTGCTTCAAACACGTGTTATTTGTAAACATGCGGTAGGCACTCTGAAAAACAAGTAACAAAGGAAATACTTTTAAAAGATAAAATTTCTTCTTACTACAAAAGACATTTCCACTGTAAATAAGTTATCTAATCATCTATAAAACCTTCAAAATTATCTCCAACTAAGCCACAACAGTATGAGAAAAATGGTCCTCTTTCTGAAGTTTTGGGATGTGTTTGATGTTTCTTATTTTGCTTGAGATATACAAAATTTTGTAATTAACTCATTTCAGCAAAGTGTGAAAAACATTACAGATTCCGTTTACCACACTTGTTCTTGGAACTGTGAAGAATTTGATAACATTCAAATTGCTTTAAAAGTAGAGATTTCATAGATATTTTCTAATTCCTGCAATAATGAGTCAAATGGAGCCATAGAACAGAGCAATAAAGTTGGTAGGGTTTTCTGCAGAAAAGTTTGTAGAACTTTTCATAAATCTACATAAATATTGTTTCCATATTGATTTTTCAGAAATACGCTATCATTGCACATCCATGTATAACTTATATAAAAAAAAATAAAGAGCAAAAGGAGAGCACTGAGTAATAGGGAAAACTTTAAAAAGGGGTAAAATAAACAGTTAAGGCCCTTCCCTCCAAAAATACCCAACCAACCAGAAACCAGGTCTTTCTCTTGGGACCAGCAATAGACAGAGGCCAAGACATAGGCCCTCCTATTGCAGTGAGCTGCTAAGGAAATCACTCTGTGCTCCTACACCTCTACTCCCTAGCCAGAGGTCTTTTCTACTGCTGTCCTATTTCATATATACAAGATAAAGCTATGCAAGCTAAGCAGAATTATTCAGATACAGATAAGCATACATATATATCAAAACCAAACTAATACTGACCAGTAATTTAAAAAAACACTGAAATATTAACAAGTGTGCTTGCAGACAACAAATTATTAATTCCATTACTTCTGTTTACACTATACGTCCCATTAAACAAAGGAAAAGAAACACTGAAAAAAAACCCCACTATGTAAGAAGAAGCACTGAAGAAGTGGCACAACAGATAAGACACTTTTTTGTTCAGTGTGACCTCTAATGTATTTTGATATAAACCAGGCAATCTAGGGGAAACAAATCATCCCATAAGCAACAAAGTGATCTTAAAAAATAAGCATCATCACAGAATTGCCTTTGACCCTCTGCATAAGAAAGCTATTGCTTCAATAAACAAATGAGTTTTGTATCATGAGAAAGATGAAGAATTGAGTGAAAAATAAGAACTACAGAAGCTATAATGACAACTAGGACAACTCTGATAGCCCACCAATTGCAAGGAATGATGATGAGTGTTTGAATTTATCCAGCCTCCCTATGTACTAACAATATCTTAGCATCAAACACTGAGCAATATCTTTGCACAGGAGACAACAATATTTATAAGCATGTATTTATAAAAGTTCTTTCAGCTGTAGACATTATACTCACAGGGTTAGAATGCAGCACTGTAAAGAACTCTGGGCTGATAAGAAATTTCACAGGGGGAGACTGGAGCAATAAAGTAAGTCTGGATCTGGAGGTAGAGTGAGGCAGCACATTCTCTCTTCGAAAATCTAACAGCAAAGTGAATGACAAAGACTTCCAGTAATTATCATTACCAAAACAAGTATATAGATTTGAATCACACAAGCAAAAAGAGCACTAAGTATACAACTGTTTCAGATAATTTATTAAGTATTCTCCATGTAAGCATACCTGAATTTCTTCTAACATAGCACTTAAAAATGTTTCATTCCTCCTTTAAAAAAAAGCAACCAACACATCACTGCCATCACAGCCCCAGTTCTGAAATAGTATTTAAGAAGCTTATTTAAGCAAGAAACAGGTTGCCATGGAACTACCTTTCAAGGTTCAACTTTCAGTAAACATTTGGGTCTTCTCCTAGCAACTGTAGAAGTGCACTGATTTTTCAACAGTACCTGGAACTGAAAATATATGAGTGGTATTTGCTACGATGTTTAAACTGTTCTCCCCAAATATCTTTGAAAACCAACAGGATGTTTGGATACATTTTTTTACGTAAATGAAAAACTGCAAATTCAGATTGGGTCTGCAGTGATTTTACCCCGAAGTGCATGCCATCTAAATTTCACAGTTTCTTTCTTTTACATTTGCACACTTCCCCATCAAATGAACAAGAGGAAAAACTAGTTAAGATGCTTAGAGCTCATTTAAAAATATCTTTCCTTCTGTCTTCATTCAAAAAGTTAACACCAACCAGATAACCAGAGGAATCAAACAAAACAGGAGAAGAAAGAGAACTTTCTTGTTAGGCTAGAAGACGTAAAGAGCAGGTGCAAATCAGAGGTTTTCAAACCCTTTGGGCTTGATGAAGTGTACTCTAACACACTTAGGAAACTAAGTGAAGCAATCTCTGAGACACTGGTGGTTATTTCAGAGGTCTGACAGAATTCTTAGAAGAAAATGGATAAATATTATATCAATTTTTAAGAACAGGCAAAAAAGGATGAAGGAAACTATAGATGTAGTTGACATATTTTCTATTCTCAGACAGACACATGAACTAATTGTCAAAATACTTCAAGCAACGAGAAGATAGCAAGGTAGAGAAACACAAATAATCGGGATTTCTGAAGAATGAATCATAGTAAACTAACAAAGTTATTTTCTACTACTCAAGTGGTGTAAAGGCCACATATTTTGATGTTAATAAGGTGTTTAATACGGTTTACATGACACTCAGAATCATGTTGGAGAAAATCACCTGAAACAGATGACACCACCTAGAGAGGGGTATGCAGCAGTTTGCAAAAACGTACTGAAGAGCAGTTATGATTTATGTCAAACAAAAAGGAGTACACCAAGTGATGGTTCACTGAGACATGTCTGGGTCTGGTCCTATTCATTATTTCTATTAATGGCTGGATAGGGAGGACAGAACTTGCTCCAACTAGGAGATGCTGCAGTACTCTAACAGCAGGATGGACAAGATTCAAACCATAGTGACACATTAGAAAAATGCAAAGACGTGTGTGCAGGTAAGGATAACTAACTGCACCGACACCAGATGAAAACCAGATATCTGTGCCAAAGATCTGCACCCAAGGGTCTAGACCTGATTTTAGCAGAACAAAGACTAAACACTGGGGGCTAATGTCAAACTATCGGGGAAAAAAAGTAATAATTATGCAGGAATGTACAAGGAGCGTTATACATAAGACACATGACATTTCTACAACCTCTTCAGTACAGCAGAATAATAGCTTTATTTAATTTTCTGAAATATTCGTCCTCGGGAGCTGCGGACGAACTGAAGATAATCCTGAGTAGGCCAACAAAATAATTGGAGACCTAAAAACAGAAGCCATGAGGAAAGACTAGGAAGTAACGGATTTAAGAATATGTTATAAGAGAAGCAATATGAGTAGACTGCCTAAAAAGTTATACAATGTCCATCAAGTGGATGGACAAGTATGCCAAGTATGGTTTAGGTACAGCTCATCCTGTTTATCTTCAGCACAGAGATGAAGCTGATGACTGCCCAAAGTCCTTTTTTAGTCCTATATTCTACCATTCCAAAGTGTAGTAGCAGATTAAAAATATTTGTAACCCAGACCACACAATTTTATACTTTTTCACCGCAGATGTCCTGCCTATATTTTTACCCAGTCAGGTGCTGACGAAAAATGCTCTCAATCTCACATTCCTCTCTTCAGCATATTGAACAGGCTGAGCCATAATCTTCAAAAACTACACAGCAATGAAAACAAATGGTTTCATTTTCACCCAGACTTTCAGGTACAGAAGTTAGGTTTTGCTGTATGTCAATCTCAATAAATAATGAGTGCTCCCTTTAGAGAGAGGGAAAAAAATTATTAAATTTTTTTAACCTGCATTAGAATGGTGAAAGTCAGTTTCCTCTCCAGCTCCATCCACAGAATTTGTATGCTCTTCAGGCCTGTCATTAGTCATAGTTCTTCGAATGCTCTGGTACCTAGGGTTAGAAAACTGGACTTTATATATAGCATATGGTAACAATTCTGGCTCCAAGGGACCTTGCCTGTCTTTTCTGCCATGTAGGTTAATACACACTGACCTCTAATTTCTGCACTGATAGCCTTTTGAGTTTCTGAAAACCATTATCAGATATATTTTTTTTTTTAGCCACATAGCTTATGGAGTACAAAAGCCCTAGAAGCCCATATGCAAATTAAAAGCGACAGCCACATAAAAATAAATACATGTGGCCAGCTGCAGTAGCAACTCTGACCCTGTCTTCATACTAAGTCTTAACCACAGCGAACGCAGTTTTGCAAGCACGCAATTCACAAACAACAAGGGTAATTCTTACCGGCGATTCAGCTGTTCCATTTGCTGTATGGAATTTGACCTCTGGAGAATCTGCGGGGCTGGGGGGGCTGTAGGTCGCTGCCATGTTGTTGTCCTGTTCACATGGTCCACATAAAAAATCCGTCCATGGCTGTCAATTCGAGCCTCCCAGTCTAAGTAGCAATAAAATACTATGAATTATGGAAGGCTTGGGGTTTATTTGTTTCTTTATTTCAGCTTTGTCACTTCTGTAACTGTTCTGTAATTGTTTCCTGTTTCTATTTTTCTTTCACAGGATGACTTCAGCATAGAACTTTCTTATGGAGGGGTTAAGAGACATGGGTTTTCCCTATTTTATCCCATAAATCTAATTCCCCACTGTAGGCAAGGTTCTGTGGAATCCATAGTGAGTAATTTCTATTCCTTTCTCTATTCATTTCCCACTAAACACTATTTATTCCAGGAAAAAAAAAATCAGGATACTTAGTCCAATTCTCTTGGACTGAAGTAATCCAAGATCCAATCTCTGAGGCTTTTTCCAGTGCAAAAGTCCAATGGATAAGTACCAAAAGTGCTGCAAAGCTTGACACCTGTCATCGTTTTTCCCCAGCTAACAGTAACAGTCGTAAAATAGATGCCAGTGCTCTTCCTGCATTTACATATACCTATGTTAAAGGTAAGCAGACATGTCAGAAAAGATGGACAACTATAATAACCAAACTCCTTCACATACCAAATGCATGTTCTGTCCACTGGTTTTCCAACACAAGCTACAGACAATGTTGGAAGTCTTCACTGTGGAGACACACCAGGAGACCAGAGACAAAGGTGCTGGGACCCTTCCCCAACCACACCTGGCTTCTCAGTGCTCAGGAGAAACCAGGTGCATCATAACACCGCGGCCTTAGCTCATAAGCTTTTTGGGTCAGAAACACTGTCTACCTAATAACTGGTTATAAAATGAGCAAGATCCCAAGACACTGTTCGTGGCTGGAGGCCATGTAATGATAAAAAAATTAAGATATTTCATACACAGAAACAGATGTGCCCGATTCTTAGGCACTAGCAGCTGCAGAAAACATGCAAACCATTTAGCACGTCAGTTGAAAAAGTCTTTGACAGCTCTGAATGCTTCTGCAAGAGACTTTCTATATTGCAAGTCTAGATGGAAACATCAGTCACTGCAGTAACATTTTAAAAACCACTGCCAAGCAACCGATCCTAAATGACTGCCGTTCCTCAAGGAAAGGGCATAAAAATGTCTTGACAGCAGAAAAGGAGAACTAATTCTACCATACAGTATGTAATACTGACAGTCTTAAAACCTCGGGCTTTGTTACTGCACACGTACTGTGACTTTTGTCAGCTCTGGGAGGCAGGCAAGTGGCTCCCCACACTACACTGTAGGGCCTGAGCTGACTCATGAAGAAGGAGGAGAAGGAGGTTTTGAGATAAACTCAGTGTGTCATGTCCGCACAACAGCTGTGTGTTTTAGCTGGCCACAATGGAAATTACTCTTCTGTCTTTATGATGCACAAACTAGCCTATTAGTGTTTAAAGCATTTCTAGTGCGAACAAGAGCTATATAGGAAAGTAGGCTCAGAGGAAGGAAAGAAAAAGCACAATAGCATAGGAATAAAGAGAACTGCTTAAGGAACAAATTTCAATACCAGGAGAAAAAATTCAACACTTCGGATTATATTATAAATTTAAAATACAAGTTTAAAAATGAACAAAATTACATCAGTGCAAAGTTAATGGCACAATCACTGTATTTCCTATTCAAAATATAACACATTTGAAATTTATTGAAAAAAAATTAATTTATGTCTCAAAAAAGCAAACGGAAACATTTCAACAGTCTCTGAAAAAGCTTCCATTTTTAAAAATGAAAAAGATGACTGAAACAGATGTTCCTGTGCAAAGGTCCCATTTCGAAATAGTATCTTCTGATGAAATAAAAATACTCAAAATTTTTAACTAGTCTGTAAACAAAACAAAACGTAGAAGTATTCCAGGAAAGACAGAATTGTTCATTTGGGGGGGGGGGGAGGGGGAACAGACTACCAAAACACAACAGTTTATGAATTCATTATTCTGCTTAAATGTCAAACCGTTAACCATGGTATAATAGTTGAGATTTTTTCTTGTGGTCATTATATGTCCAATTCTGACACACATTAACCATTTCTGCAATGTGGTCTTGCAGAAGAAAAGCATTTTTGCCTGAATTCAATTTTAAATACACTTGGGCAATGGCTTCTGAAGTAAAGCACCTGCATCTCTGTTGTGATGGACAAGGATATTTTCTGTTAATCAAACTGTTGTTAGTCAAGTGTGTTACAAATAACTTAGCTTGCTAAACTGCAAAATCGTAATTCATCAAGCTTGTGTGGTCAAGCTTATTTGTTGATTTTTCCCCAGGAATGGAGGAATCGGAGCACAATGTTCTAGATGATCTCTGAGGTCCTTTCCAGCCCTATCCATTCTATTCTATGATTCTATGTTATAGGCAGAAAATACTAGATAAATATTTCAATTCTTTATCTTGTTCTTTAACTTATACACAATTGAAAGAAATACACCTATTTTTCTTTCTTAGTTTCAGATTCTGCTGAAACAACAAATAGAATACAACCCAAATTACAAATTACAGTTTGTAATGCAAAATCGTATTCTGGATGTTTTCTCTAGTTTTTCACTATTAAAATAATAAAACTGTTACATATCCTAAAGCAGAGCTTTGGAGAGAAAACCTGAATCTAGGCAACAATTAAGTGCTTAAGATTTTATTCACATCAGCAAGTGAATGATAAGGATTGCATTGGGCTTTGATTGTAAAGGGACGATGTGTGTATGTATGCCCACACATGACTCTGTAAAATCCCAGCAAATGTCAGAAATGTTAGAATACCACACAGCCAAGCCTTTTCCATTAATGTTTCAATAGTTTTTCCTAGTAGTTATTGCAGTGTATAGTATAGTTTGCTTCTGAAACACAAAAAGCAACCTGTATATAACCCATGGTACTGTAAAAGCTATCTCTATGCACTTCTCATTTATTACACTGATCTCTGAGTATTTCCCATAAAGTTCTCTGCCTTTTTCACTATTAAAATGCAACTGAAATATACATCTCCCAGGCACAATTTTGTAAAAAATAATACTATTTTATTAAGGGGCAGTTAATTAACTTTAGGATCTGCACACAGGACTAACTTGTATGCACTGATTGTAACAGAATCAACGGGGAGCAAAATCTTCTCATCGCCCTGGCTTTCCAATGCACAGTTATATCTGTGTTCTGCTGTCAGGCTCCTTCCAGTTACCCTCTCCAACTACAGAGCAAACGCAGTTCCATTCCATACTGTGAAATAAGGACCTATTCATTTTACACTAAATATCTGAATTCCTGACTCCTTTAAAGTAACAGAACTTTGCCACACGCTTCAGTAGGTCTGAATTTAACTTTTTTTTTTTCCATTTTGAAGTAATGTTTGCCTGTTAGCTGTGTAGCTTTTTTTTGGTCCTTTTTCCTTTCTTTCAGTATCTAACACCAAATAGATTTTCACTGTCCCAAGTTTAAGCAAGTGAATCAGTCCAACAACTGAGAGCAACGTATTTTTCATATGCATTATAGAAATTACAATTTATCTGTCAATTTAGGCTCTAACCATTGCTTAATACCCAGGTTTATTTTAATTCAAAAAGTCTTCATAATGACTCAAAAATGCACGGAAAAAACAGGTATCATTCACATAATCCACAGAGATTAAAGATGTTATGTATTTCTTTGTAAATCATCACCACGCAAGAAGTATTCAGAGATTTCAGAGTTCCTGAGAACTTTCCCTCCAAGTACCCCATATAGCACTATCACCTCACCTCCCTACCCATGTGCAGTGCATACTGAAAAGGCAGCACCGTTCATTCGCACTTCTCCGCAAATACCACTTAGCAATGTGTGTATACACCAGGTATAATTATCATAACACATCCTGATAGTTTGCAGACTGAGCACAATGACTTGTACAAAACAGCACTCAACTTAATCATCATCACTTAGATCTTCTCAGCTGTTCATTCTCAATTCTCACATTTAAAAAAGAAATGCAATGAGATCTCAGTGATGAGATCCAGGCAGCCTATCCCCCAACTAAAGCATGAAGAATCTTACTTGGTGGTAGAGCCTCATCCACTCTCTGGTAGCGGCTAACATCCTGACGTACTGAAGGCAGTGACCTCAAGGGCTGATGGCCATTAGCTTGAGAACCTGGAATCAAAGTGCCTACAAATTATTTTTTCAGTCAATGTGGGGAAACCCTAGAGTTGTCTCTAAAGTGAACAAGACATGCTAAAGCTGCTGCAGGGCTATGCTGCAGGACTATGATATTTTAGGATATATCTAATAGTCATCTATTTTTCTGGGCAACATAAGTTATGTCTACAGTTCTAGGCAAGTGATTACCCTGGGATGCACTGCAGCCGTGGTTGTGAAAAAGTCACCTCTTGGGATGTGCCACATCCACCTGTGACCAGCAGAAGCCAGGGCACAGAAACAACAGTGTGTGCCTGAACCTTATCCCAGCAAGGGACAAGGACAAAGCTCCACCTGGCCCCTGCAGAAACCTTGCTGTAAGAGTGGGAGATGAAACTGTCCACTGACCTCCCTTGCTGCAGCCACACCGTTCTGTAAAACATGGTGCGGCCTCACAGCTAATAAAAAGAGAGTCCCAAATGTCTAGAAAATGCTGTAGAATATTGACAGCATTTGAAATAAATACCAAACTTATTCCTTCCAAATCAAAGAGCATTTTATGAAGAGAGAAATTAACAGATCCCAAAACTTCTGAAATGTTATGAAAAAGACGCATTCAGAAACCCACTGGATTAGATCTGCTTCAATCCCTAAAGAAACTGAATGGATAATCCATTGTGAAATGTGCTTGGCAATAATACGTTAGGGACACATTTCTACTTTCAGTTATTTGAGTGAGACATAAATTTCTCAACTGTTAAAATGATTTTACAATTGGTAACAGTTTTACAGTGTTAACTTGAGTAACACATGCTGCTCCTCCCGTGGTTCCAGCTGTGCTAGGATGTGTCTATACAGATAAGGAACTGGGAAAGGGAAAATAAACAGCCTGAAGTGTGACTAAGAAACAATTGATATTTTTTTCCCCTTTCTTTTGATTACCTTTATGTTTTAATGCTAATCTATAAGCATGCGAAAGAAAAGAGCCAAATATAAATTCACAGTTTTGGGATTTTTGCCCCCCTCATTACCATTTTGATTAGCAAGCAGGGTAATATTGTGGAATTCTTTCCTCATCTTCATCCTCCTTCTCACTACTGTCTCAAAAATTAATATATATCCAATTTCAAAATAAACATGTCTTGGATACTTCAGGTTTGATTTTTTGTTAAATCAAAAACCTCAAGAGTCTCTTGAAGAACGGAATAAATCTCAAAGGAACAAAAAAAATCTTGAAAGATAATGAAATTGAGAAATTAAGATCTCTATTTTCAGATGTTAATTTTTAAAATAATTTTTACTGGTTGCAGAAAGGTCACTTCAGAAAGTGCCTCCTGCAGTTGTTACCTCCAGTAGCTCCTTCAACTCGTGCTGTGGCACCCTCACAAGCTGCTTGCGCTCCTTCAGGTTCTTCATCCCGAGACTGGCTATTGGCAGCTGCCGCCTGCAGGCTTCTTCTTCTTTGCCAGATTTCTTCTGCTTCCTCTTGGTCTGGTAATTCACCTGCCTCAGCCTCCTGTGCTTCCTCCTGCAGTACCTGTACCGCAGGTAGAGAACCAGAAGCACTGGCAGAGTCCTGTGTTTCAGCACCTGGCTCAGTTCTAGCTGTATCAGTGGCACAAGCTCCCTCTTCCTCCTCCTGAGAAGAAAAGGCTGGAGTCTCAGGAAACCTGGCACTTTCACAAGAAGAACAGCGCATTTCAACTGAGGAACGTCGCACAGTCGCGCTTTCATTGCAAGAGCTGTCTGCCCCTTCCACGTCACTCTCCCCTTCTGGCCGGGTACTTGCCTCACTGACGCTTTCTGTGCGAGCAGGATCACTCTGCTCGGTTTCTGATGATATCTGGGAAGGTTCAGACCCTTGATCAATGGATTCTGTTTCACTAACACCCCTTCTGCTCCCAGCAGCAGCATCAGCAGCTCCTGCATCCGCACTGCTAGGAGGCTGCTCTGCCTCCGGAGCGGCACACGACTCGCTGCCAGCCTGGTCTGCTGGTGCCTCACTTTGGGAACCTTGCAAGCTTTCATCTCCTGCTAACTGTGATGGTGGAAGCTCTGGGAGAGTCTCCTGCTGGTCATCAGTTGACGGCAAAGGAGCTTCAGAGGCTGAAATGTTTTCATTCTCTGCAGGCCCCTGCATTACCTGATCTGATGAGTAACTGAAACCATTTCTTTCAATGTTTCTTGTAGCACCATTAAGCATTACTAAACCACCATCATCTTCCAAGGAAGATGGAAAACCCAGGTCTTTATGTAACTCATGCTCCTCTTCATCTGAGTCAATGTGAAGCATAGCATTAAGTCTTGTGTCAGTAGGGAAGCTACTCCTCAGTTTTGGGGAGGCTCCACGTGGACGCTCGCCACAGGCAGACGTCCCGGGTCTGGGATGATTATTGTGTTCTATTGCATCCAGATAGTCATTTAGTGAGTCCTGGCGACCTCTGATAGGTGATGATCTTGAAGCACCGGAGGTCAACTCATCCTGGTCTGTTTCCAGAGTTGTACTAGTCCTTAAAGGGTGTCTCAGGATTGCTTCTCCAGAAGAATCCTCAAGGACTGGACCATTGGAACACACTGTGGATGTATCGTTATGTCCTGCTGGCATATCCTCATCATCAGAGGGGCTCCCCAGGTCTCCATTTAGAGAGTTCACTCCTAGCAAAGTGCCAACTGTTTCTGGTGAAGCATCTGCAGAGACACAAAGACTGAGTGTGAAACACAGTGCAGCAACAGACAGTTCGTTCTGCTTTGTCTGCATCACAGAAGTGATAGAAAAATACAAGAAGCTTGCTTAATTTGATTAGACAACTAAGGGAAGAAAATACAAACAATAGAGGCATCTACAGCATTATAACAGCAATTACAGAATTTCGTCTGTAGAAGTCTATACTATTTTGTAGGATATAAAAAATTTAAGGGGTGTGAAGTAAGACTTTAAAGGACTCCCATTTTGCTTTCAAAAGGCAGAGCACCGCCAAGCGTCTTGTCAAACTGTCAGTAAAACCAGCCTCACGACCAAGGAACCAGTTTTCTGCAGTGTATCTCTCATATCCAGAAGTAGGATTTACATAAAGCCGGTCACTGACACCAGTTGTCATTACACCCTTAGCAGCATGCAAACCAGTAGTACCTGAGGTCACATGAGGAATCACAAATTTTGTACAGCTACCAAATTCTATACACAGCGTTTTAGAGTTAATTTATAGGCCTTTCTACTGTAAAGAATGGGAATCTACTTAGAATAAAGTTCATGACGTATCAGGCAAGCTGTGTTAATATATATAAAAGGGAAATTAAAATAAGCCATCTCATTTGAGAGATGAGATGGTAACTCCCCACACAGAAATTAAACAGGCATAGAGTTGAATAATTCAGCTGTAAGTGTCTGTATATGTCTGCAAGAAACCTAACAGTGAAGTCAGAGAACCTGGCAACAAACAGGACTGAAGGTAGAAGCATTTTTTTAACAGCGACAGAGCAAAAGTATTAATGAGGTACAGGACTATATGGCTACAAAAAAGGCAAGAAGGTTGTATCCAGTATAAAAGATGAAGCAATATCTGACGACCAAAAAGATTGTACCAAGTCTAATGAAGGAGAATCTTAAGATCATAAACGTGCAAATAGACATATATGATGCGATAAACAGTAACTGCACCAGGCATGTTCTGCTCATTGCCTTCAGAACTGGAAAAAGGGAAAGAATTGCCAAATGGAAGTATGTGTTCTCATAACCATAACAGACGTTCTTCATTCTAAGCAGGACAGAGTCCTGCCCAAGGGGGACAGGAGAGTGATCTGCACATACACTAGCAGGGGAGGAGAGCACAGGTGGAATCTCACTTGCAACTACTTATCTCAGACAAAGGTGTTACAGAGCAAAGAGAAATAATGAATTTGATTACCCATCTATCCCATAAAATGAGAATCATAAGCAGATTCATTTAAAATCTATCTAACAAAATAGGAAAAGAGTACAATAACTGTTAGTGTTTTGGAATTAGCATCTCCAAAGCAATACCTGACATATCTAAACTTTGAATCCCAATAGAAACATCTATAATAGATGCACTGTATATGAACAAGAAGTATATTATAATGGAAAATCCTAGAAATAGAAAAACATAGAAACTCTCTCCCTATGACTATCTGGAGATCCAGATCATTGACAAATTCTCACCTTCGTGAACAGAAGATGTGATTTCCACTTTGAATTGGAGGTATCCACTTACATGATCAGCTGGGAGCCTTCTGGCAAGATTATAGCTAAGAACCTGGTCTCTGCAAAAACAAAGATGTTGGAGTTTTTTTAAATTTTAACTGGTTTTATTTTTCTAGTATTTTGTATCAGAGGCTCTTACCAGATAAGAGTCAGAGTGAGGGAAGGTAATTTATACTATAATCTTAAAATCAGCTACATACCCTGGCTTGTGTGGAAAAGCAACATCAACAATGGTGTAAAATACATTTAGTTAACAGATAAAACAGCCTGTCAAACCACTTTTTGATCATTTTCAAATACAGATTGTGCCCCAGCAATTCTTATACATCTCTAAATCTCTTCTTAAGTCCTAAAGAAATCAAACGGCAAAGGATCCCTTTCCCCTAACCTCCCCCTTCTCCCAACCAAAAATATGTTTTATAATCAACAATACTGTTCATTTTTTAAAACCTTCTGCCCCCTTGTGGTTTTCACTATATACAAAATTCCCAGACAGTTTCTTCACATTTTAGTTCTCGTTCAATAAAGCACTTCTGCATTCCTATTTAGAAAAGCTGTTAATGCTTGGATTTAATTTCAAATATGTTCTTAAGAATTATTGAATTCAGTGGGACTCAGGCTTGATAAAGCATTTGTATGAGCTTGAGACCTAGGATCAGATCCTAGGCTATACGTTCTTATTAGGCACAGCCAGACTTCACAGCCCCAGCCTCCCTCAGCACAGCTGGGACAGCTGAAGGGAGAGGACGGAGCTACTGAAGACCTCCATAGGAAATTAATTTATGCAAACAAATTTATATTGCTATAAACATCTCTCCTTTTACTGGGAGTACTTCTACTGCAATATGAGTGACAGACTAAAAAAAAACACCAGGTCATTACTGAATTAAGCTCCATCAGTTTCCATCCAAACACTAACTTTTAGCAAAAATGTCCTGAGTGGACAACATAAGGCAAAGCAGCCTCCTCCCACTGCTCTATAGGCTGAAGTACATACAATTATTATAGTAGTGTCTCCAGGATCTGTCACAGATTCATCCCTCTGTAGTCCAGCTACAATCCCTTCGGCTAGACTTGGGAATATTGCCATTTGAGGTTTCCACAATTTTTAACATAAGGTTTGTATTACTCTAGGTCATTCGAGATCAGAGAAAGCCACAACATGAATAATGTCTGCTCTGTATTCAGCTGAATCAATAGTAGATGATTCTCATGCTCATTTATCATATTTTCCATGAAATTTAAAGCCACCGTCCATTTCACTACACAAACTTGTGAGCTATGACAACAGCTGAACGTGGGGCAGAACTTCATCTTTTCATTCATTAATACTGATCACTAACACAGGGAAGGGCAAGTTAAGCATACAGTGCACTGTAAATCCTTGGACTTTGTCTGTTTAATTTTTCAATTTCACGTGTTAACTCAGTAGAGGATTTCAATTGTCCTTGACATCACCAAAATGAAGAAGAACCTGAAGATGTTTTACTTGCTTGACTAAAAACAAAAGAATCAGCAGCTGATTGCACGTTTGGGACATTTCTACTTCATGTCTATATTAACCATTCCTTTACTTTGCAAAACTTCAGGTGAAATATTGCCTGTCTTTACAATGTCTAGGAAAAAGGAACCCTGACAACTGATTAGCTTGCAAAAACTGTAAGTGGACAAATAAATTACAGATGAAGCGGCAAAACTGATTTAATCTCAGTTCTAACAGCAGCACGGCAAAACCGAAATGAATACTTACCTATATTCTTGCTATATATTTACTATACAGCCCTTCCTTTCCTAAAAAGACTTAGTATATCAAATATACAGAACTGAAGTATGGAGAAGAAAACAGGAAATGTCTTCCAGAATATCGGAAGACAGTATGTTTGAAAAAACACAGACAAGAACTGATGAACACAGCAAATGGGTAATTTCCAGATCTCGCTGCCCTAGGAATCCCAGAGCAGAAAAACATTTTGGGGTTTAGCATGGAAATGAACACCCTGAACTAGGTTTTGAAACCAGTCTGTATCATGGTGCTATTTTTGAGTGTATAGCAGTGTGCAAATTTATTAGAAAAAGCTGCTTGCTCAACTTATCACAATTTGTTGAAACTCAAAGATGAAGGACTTATTAGAAAAGCTAGATTGTGTATACATCTGCACTGCTCTTAGATACCACTACAAAACAAAAGGGCAGGCGTTTGTTTTTGTTTTTTTTTAATGAATTCCTGTATCAGAAGACATCATCAAAAATTTAAGCTACTCTTACAATTTTTATTCTTACTTACCAGTGTAACCACCACTTTGGAAACTTAAAGCTGAAAACTGTTTTCAAATTGAATTTGACTTTCTCCATTTATGCAACTTGTTACTTTGATGGGAATATCTGTGAAAAAGGAGGCCAGTTGTTTATATTCTGCTTTTTGTGCAAAAGCATGATGATACTGCCATGCCCTCAAACTTTCAGAGAAGAATATACACGTTTTATTTCACCATCATTCCTCATGGGCCTCATCCAGTGGCACACATTAACTTTAGCAGACTTTGAGTTAGGTCCTATACAAACCACACTCGTGTAACTCAGTTCCTCGCATTGTCTTTCAAGGAATTATTTTTTCTAATTTGTCAAATATAGCATATATATGTAAAAAGATGCTAACAAAATTATATACTCTACAATTACTGTTCCATCTTAAACGTAAAATTCTATTTTTGCACACACTGCTCCAACTCTTGCAGACCTCCAGCCACTTGCTTCACACCTGCAACGTATCACAGTGCCTAATTACCAAGTCTCAGGCTCTTATCAGTGCATTTGGCTGTACGAAAGCCTTGCTGGATCATCCACTTGTGCTATGGTCCCCTCCAGTAAACATCACAAAGTATGAAACATCTTAAAAGTTTCTGAATCACCTGCATCCTTATACTGGAACAGTTAGCTACCAAAACATGAACAGAAATTTCTTAAAATAGCACAACAGGTGAATTTTGAGTCCCATCAGTGTGCTATTCACAGTAAAAGGCAATTTTAATTGTGTAGTACCACTAGCACTCTGAAAAATAAAAAGTCACGGCCTTGCAGTTCTGGCCAATTAGCTCAATAGATATTAAATCTCTGATTATTAAACTGACAATTAAAAATACTTGATCTGTAAAAGAAGTGAGACAATAAAATCTGCTTCTTCTAAAAAATTTGCACACAATCATGTAGCACTGTGATAATGCCTTGCTTCTTGACTAGCTACCAGTGGGCAACATCTTTTGTGAAGGGAACATTTTTTTTTGTGTAAAGAAATTAAGCTGAAAACAAATTATAGACACACGTATACACAAACATGGGTACATGCATTCAGAACAGGGTCCAAAACACTGACATCTTCCAGTCAGGATATAATGCTATTACAATTCCTACTAAATTTCTTACTGCAGACACAGTAGAAATTTGCTGGTCTGTGCCAGTAAGCCAGAAAGGCTGCTCTGTGCCATACGCCAAGTCTCCCTGATAAACAGAAGTTAGCATTAAGAATGTGTTAATTCACCCAATTGCATGCCTCTCCAGTAGCCTCTGAACTGGTATGGTTAACTTCCCAAGAAAGCGCTTGATGATCGGACGACTCTTGGCAAACTTGTCTTTAACCTCAATTTCCAGGACATCTGTTAGAAGTGCAACAAAAGAATATTTCTGGAAGGAAAGAACATATTTGACACCATATCAATACACCTTTATTGAGAAAGTAAGTACATAGTTACTACTAGCGTACAGTGAACTCCAAAAGCAACGACTGATGACAGCAAAATTTGCAAAATAATGTCAACATCATTTATTAAGCCCTGTATTTTTGCATATGTAACCAGCCTGTCAGGGAACTCATACCTTTTTACTGTTCCTTGAAAAAAATTGCTCAGTAAGAAACTGCACTGGATAAAAGCACTTGCATGGTCTACATCAGAAAGGAGAAATCAATGTATCCTTGTGCTTGCTTCAATTTGGACAGTAGAAAGCAAAAAGAGAAGGAATCCTCACTGTCCTCTATCAGGTTATAGAAGAGTAGCCAGGTCAACGCAGGAGGAATGAGGAAAGTGTCTCACTGTAGGCTGTGCTCAGTGAAGTTCCCTTCCAACACCATGCTTTGCATTAATTTTTTGTAGGCATGACAGGAAGTCAAAAGGGCAATGTGTATACAGAATTTTCAGGAGCACTGTAACTAAAGGAGGAAAATTTTCTATAGATTTTTGCCCCAAAGTTCACAAGTCTTCTCGGCAAGCTCCAACAGAACCTTTTTCTGCACTTACAGCCTTTAAACAATATGGTGCTGATTTATAAAAGATTTCTTCATGTCTGGTAAGATCACTCTTCCACTCTTCCCTACAAGAGAACACTATCACAGTTACTCTCTTCATCCTAGCATCAATTTTCATGCAGTTTATGAATACTCCGTCTTTGAGAGCTGTGCTACGTTGTCAAGTCTGCCTGAAGGTGGCCAAAAGATTCAAAAGTGGTACAGGGCAAATACAGGAGCAGGCATGTTGCAGACACATACACACAGTGTCATAACAAATCCCCTTAGGAAAGCAAGCTTAGGAACCACAGATTTTTAATGTGCCTCTAGAATTTAAGATATTTCAAATAAACAAAAAAGGATGGTATAACCTACTCAGGAAAGCCGAGGTCATTTGGTTACACTTTTACTATCTGACAACTTTTAAGACCTCTGAGCGTATCATGACCTGAGTACAATCACAGAATCACAGAATGGCCTGGGTTGAAAAGGACCTTAAAGATCATCTGGTTTCAACCCCCCTGCTGTGGGCAGGGTTGCCAACCACTAGAGCAGCCTGCCCAGGGCCCCATCCCGCCTGGCCTTGAATAATAACAACTGAATAACAATAATTGATTAATTAATTGATTATTAATAATAATAATTGAATAACAATGCCTAATATGCATCTGGCTAGATACCTAAAGATGTATTAAATAAGGAACAAAAGAAGGAACGAGTCTGCAGTTCAGCTGTAGACATCAGCTAAATATATCCAAAAACAGCAATTAAATTGGGTCAGGAATAAAAACACTTTCTCACACTAGGCAACTGCCAGAGCTGGGCTCCTGTGATAAACAGAACTTAAAAATTTTTCACTCTCACTTTGCTATAAAATTGAACATTATTTTGCAGAAAGGAGTAGATGTAAAACAGGATCAATTCTGCATCACTAGGACAGCATATGTAATGGGATCATAAGCTGCTGTCGTCAGAGAATTGCTACAGGGAAGATACAGCAGTTAAAGCAAGCCAATATAATGTGTGCACCAGGGAACTTTATCACTTGTCTAATAATCTTCCAAACCAAGGAGAACTGGAGGAGGAAAAAGGGGAAACATAAGATCAGATTTTCTTTCTATCTTCTGGATAGGTGGATGGACAGACAGAAAGATGAAGAATTAATTTAGAGATTATGAACTCTGATTTTTTAAAGATTTTAAGACTGACATACATCTCCAGTCTCTCCCACAAACCAGCACCCCAGAGCAGTGGTAATGCTGGCCCTGCTCTGTTCTGCTTTACTGCTTGTTTCATTTGATTATAATTTGTGGGAACATTTTCCAAAGCTCACTCAATTTTCCCATCTTCCTAAAGAACACATTAACATTCATCAAACACAGTACAGACATCTGCTCATTAGAAAACAGACGCAGATCAAGAACGCTGCTCGCTGTTCCTGAAAGGCTTATGGACTTGTGTCAGTATTTGCACCTTGCTTCCCACATAAACATTTCTCTTCTAAGGCACAGCCTGGCTCTTTTGTGCTCAAAGACAGCTGTGGGACTGAGTTCCTTCTCTGAGACCTACACAGCTTACCCAATATAAACACATCTGGAAAACTGGCTTCTGCCGAACTGCCTTTTTTTTTCCCCCCTTGCTGAGTGGTGCTGTAATGCCTCCCTGGGCTTTCCTTCCTACAGCAGCGCATACAGAGGCTACACCAAAGAGCAACCCCCCTGCCTGACAAAATGGAAGGCTTGCCATCTGCTAGGCACAATGAGAATATCATTTCCAAATGAGCAGTTGTTGCAGTCACTGAGTATAAATGCTCACTTATTGTACCTTCTCTTAAAGACTCTTTTCATAACATATAATCAATTTTAATTAATTTATTTTTGCAGTTTCAAGAACTCTATAAGGCCATTGAGCAAGTTCAACTCTTGTTAGCAGAGAAGAGAATGAAAACCTCACAGCAGTGCAGGTTTAAATACACAGCTTAAATACGCAGATGATAGCTGTTTCTATCCAACAACAGGGTTCCTAAAATTACTACAATTTCTGTGTCAGTTTAAATAACTAGCTACAAAATAAGCTCACAGCCTTCAGAGAGAGAGGTCTAATGTTCAAAGAGAAAATCCAAGGCTGATACACTGCATCAGGTGGCAGACAGCTCTCAAAAGGGATACATTACCTCTCTGTGCCAAACAGGATTAGTTGTGTTACTGATGATAGTCGACCTTTTTTCCTGGCCATGATGAGCAAACGTAGGAAATGTACTTTTCTTGCCTGGCTGAATGGACATCTTTAGATAAGGATCAGGGTTGAAGAACATGCCTTTTTTAAGTCCAACTGCTCTAATATCTATGAAGCAAAACAAGAAGGAAGGAAGGAAAAAGGAATTGAGTAAATTAAAGCTAGTTCACAAAGTAGCGCATTCCTAAAATATTACCCAGGAAATCAATTCACCATAAACTACTAAATAAAGCAGCTTAAAATTACTCATACGTTAACTGGATCCAGTGTACAGAAGACAGTTAAAGGAGGAAGTGTTTTCTCAAGAGAATATAGGGAGGAAAGGTATCAACATCCTTATTTACATTTTAGCCTCCAGTCATTTGTAAAACAAAAAACATGAACTTGTAGCTCACCTACATACCTTCTTCTCAGTATGTAAGGTATTTCCACTCTTAAAAACCAAAAACCACAAAAAAAAAAAAATCATCACACAGTACTTGCTCTGTTTCTGGGGAAGGGGCTAAGATATAAACTCTATGGGAGGTAATGGAGTGAACTCACACTTTCCCCAAGTTGGGGCTTTGATAAACATAACTTCAAATACTTATTATCAAGGTTGCTCTGGACTATGATGCACGCTTTCTCCACATTTAGAAGATAACCTGTCTCACATAAAAGGAGGAAAAGTTTTCTGAAAATGCTTCTTTCTTCCTAGGGAAACCTCAGTAGTACAGCCCTTGTGACTTGGCACAATAAATAATTTCCTCAGGTACATATTCTCATGCCTAAGGATTTTAATGACAGTGCAAGCTTCAACAACAACAAAAAGAAAGAGGTATTTTTTTATGTATCATACTAGATTTTAAATTTAACTATAAAAGTGTGCTTCTTGTTGAAGCACAAGATTTTTGTGACTTTCTTCGTTAGGTTCTCCAATATGCTGCATGCAGTCTTCACGACTCTATTGCTACGGGCACATACATCCTTGGATGAGCAGTTTATACATGCAGGCAAACTTCACTGCACTAAAATAAAATGCCACACGTGAATTCAGTAAAAAAAATATTCTTCTCAAGGTTCAAAATTAAGCCACAGTGGAAATAAAGGTTAAGTGCCTTTAAAAGCAACAATTTTGCACATGCAAATGAGCAACCAAAAAAATGTTCCGGGAAATAATGTTACAGAGCTATCAGTCAATACACCTTTCAAAATTAATTTAGGGGACTCCTTAGACTGACCCACAACTTTCTACTAAACACAATAGGTTCTTTGGAAATCACAAAACAGTTCTCTTTCTAGTACTCTATGGAAGTCTATACAACCTGTCAGCTCTTTCCCAGAAACTGCCGAAAGACCATTTTAAAAAGCAGGGTTTTTTCCTGCTCTACCCTACAATCTCTAAATGTTTTCATTGTCAGCTCTTCCAAATTCAGAAGCAAATTGTTTTCTCTTTGCTCAAGCTGAATATGCCTTAGCCTCAGATAAAAGCTCTCGTGGAATAAAGTGCTAATCAAAACAAGTGAAGCTGGTAAACTGTACCCCTACAGCTATTTTGCTGTAGTGACAGCTTAGCTCTCTTACAAGTAAAGATTCTTTCTCCTTTCTAAACCACCATTTAAAACCATTCCTTTTTCCCTACTTCAAAGTGATGGAACTAGCTTGCATTTTATTTAGAGGCTGTTTTACCCTCCTTCAGTCTGAGAGGAACTGTCCCTTGTGCAAACTGGAAATATCTCAAAATTTTTCATGCTGGGATCCATGAAATCAGTTTATTTCACTCCTGGAGATTCATGATTCCAGCTTGTTTTCAACAGAAGTTCTAAAGAAATTACACCTTTCAAGCCACTAGAGTGTGCTCCTACAGAGGCTAATGAAGAAAAGTGTTGCATCTTTAATATTATCTAAAACAGCAATATTTTTTTTTAACAATAATTTGTAAGACATTGAGTAGTAGTATTTTTTACCTGATAGGGTAAAGCTGACTAACTTCCTGGAGTGCTGGGCTCCAGAAGCACCTTCATCCGTGCCTTCTACTCCCATCTGAAGATGAGGAAAAAAAATGAAATATACCACAGAAGTTTTCAGCTTTGTATGTGCTTGAAGATGATAATGCAATTGTAAAGTAGTATGCAGGAGAAGAATCTGACCAACTACTGCATTGACAGCCAGAGCTACAGTATTTGTTTCTAGGTAAATAGATAAATAATCTGTTATTTATCCACCCAGTGATAATACACCAGTACTTGGAGTCTTCCAGACAGAACATGTATAGGCTAATACACGTGCAGACACTATTAATTGGAGAAAAGGAGGCTGTATTTTCTTACAGGTTTCCTTTTTGTAAAAATAAAATCAACAGCATGGATTGGTAATACATACCAAAGCACTGAGCTGGCCAGTGACAGCATGTGTAACTTTTGTCACTTTCCACAAATAGATAATTTACTGTGCAACAAAAAAAGCAAAGAGATCAAAGAGAGACCAACAAAAGCCTTCAGATCTATGAACAAAAGCTCCTTTTAAACAGAAAAGTGCATCAGATATCTAAATATGAATGTGGTCTAAAAGCTTATGCTGCACAGATTTTCAAATCTAGTTTCTACTGAAATCCCTCATTAGGCTTCTCATGTGTTAATGACTTATTAATGTCTAGCTCTTTCAACTAGCAGAAGTTGTCTTTCAAGACAGAGATGTGCATCCAGCTGAATAATCACCAAGACACCAGTAGAGCTGTCTTTAAAGTCAAACTGTTCTCCAGGTAGGTACTGCACTCACTCCCAGGCTACATCACCGACTCAGAATAATATTGTTTACATTGCTAATCATGACTTCATTTTATAGAAAATGGTATTTGCCCACAATTCAGCTATAATAAAATGAATTGTAACAGTGTTCCCTAGCTCTTCCATGGTTTCACTATATAACGTTTCCCTATTCCATTATGACCTGAACAGAAATTTCAACTTTCATGTGCCAACTACAAATTTCACACCAGCATACATGCTTAAATTTTTGCACTACAAAGGCTATGTCGTCTGGTGTAACAGTGTCTCTCAGTGCTAGAGCAGCCCTTGCTTTCCCGCTGGTTCAAATGACCACAACAGAATATTAGCTGCTTATCTAGAAGAAGGACGGACTGAAATGCCTGGTTTGATATGCCATCAATAGGAGGAAAACCAGAAACATGTCTCCCACCAAACCATGTAATGAAAAAACACAGAACGATCCAAAGAAGCAGGTAACTTACTGCAACTTAAAAAAAAAGAGAGCAGGTATGCCGCGACTCTGACCATGGCCACAACCGGCATTTCTGTAGCAACAGACAGGACCAGTGCCAAGAGAACAAAGTATTCTCTACTACACAGTCCTAGGGTCAACACCGAAACCATGAAAACAGTGTGAGGTATTAACATATAGTAACAGGTATACTTACATATAGCTAACCCAATATGATATTTTTAGGAAGTCTCATCTGAGCTGTTACGTGACATTCTCATTGGGGAAACTAACAGCTCACTATTACTGGAAATCTGTACTACTAGTGCAAACAAAAAAGGAATTACACCTTCTAGCAGGAGTGTAAATTCTGTAGAATGCCCAGGACCCTGTGCTACCTTTCAAAGGAAATAAATTTAAATAGCGACAGCCAGTTAACCCTTCAAGATTGACCAATGACTCTGCAAGACAGGTCTTCAGGTAGCTCCTAAGTCAACAAATGCATACTCAAAGAGAGAAGTTCAGATGTCCTGTTGTGCAATGAATCTCAAAAATATTGGCGGCTAGCATGACAAGGCCAAGAAAACTCACAAGTTCAAATGGTTTCTCCATCCAATATAATCCTTCTGCTTCCCAGTAAAAATATAGTGCAGCACATAGACCATTTTAAGAGTTAAAGATGCATTTTATTCTTTGTTCAAAATCAGGCTACCTTAGAGTCTGTAGTTTACAAACTACAGTGGCTGTCAGGCTCATTAACTTCACATTCTGTAAAATATCAAGAGCTCACATGCCTGCTGCAAAATTATATTATTCATAGTCAGATCTGACAAAGATCTGACAACTAAATGATGCTATCACCTAGGTCTGCAATTCTAAGAAAAAGAGAAAGCATTTGGTATAATGAGATATAAAGTCTAGTATAACACATACAATATCATATAGGCATAACATGCACTTGTATATCATATACAGTGCTGGAAAATGTGCAGGATCAGAATAAAAGCTATTCAGTCTGAATAACTTGTGCCCTACAGTATCTTCAACACTGCAGTTGTCAAGACAACATTCTGACAGATGTGATCTTAAACATTTGTCAGGTAATACCAATGAATCAAATGCACTATGAAACTTCATGTCAACTGAAGGGCTAGCCTATTAGATTCATTACTTCTATCAAAAGCACCCGGATACAAGTTTGGAAGGCTCTTCTTCCAATACGTATTTAACTAACTAAAAAAAAACCTCTAAAACTTATAGTATTTCAAAAGAACAGGTCTCATAATGAAAGCATAGTAAGGCAGCAATAATTCTCAATAGTCAGATAATTATGTAAATTTCAATAGTATATGAACACTCAAAAACCCCAATAATTTTTGCAAGAGCAGAGTTTTGTCCAGTCTCATTTTTAGAATAATAATTGCTATCTCAGTAACAACTTCATTTTTAATATTAATCAATAAATAAGAAATTGAGACTTTTAATAAGGATTCAGTTTGAGTTAGATAACTAGTGTGACAAATTTCTGCTATAGTGTTAAATTACAGGAAACTGTAAGCCCCAAAATTGAAAACATAAAAGATTTCAGCTAAGCTCAGTGATTTTAATGTCATTTTACCATGAAAAATACAAACCCAAGAAAAGCATTTCCCAATTTTAATTATTTTTGCCAGGCAACATATTTTTTGCAAAAATTGCAGCTAATGGTAAAACTAGGAGACTTATATCAATAGGTTTGTCTGACAGTTAACATTATCATCTTATAAAAATACAATGAACAAATGGGCTAAACTTACCATCACAGCAGGGTTTTTCACAGTGATACATGGAGTAGTAGCTCGGAGGGCTCCACTAACACCATGGTAGTATTTAAAACAGATCTTTATTTCAGCTGGAAAACAAACCAAAAAATTGCATTAAACCCTTCATGACTGACCCCAGGCAAAAGAGAGGCAACAAAAGGAACACGTGCGCACAGGGAGTCATACTTCACTTCTGTTTACAGAGTCCAAGTTTGGGCAGTTCACTGATGCGTCTTTGTTGTAAAAGCATACAATAACTGTAACTGAAATATATTTTCTCTCAACCTGTAGAAAATTGAAAACTTGTCTCAAAGCCAGTAATAGAGTGTTTCACTAAAGAGATGGTAAATGCTGCCTTTTTTTTTTTTAATTGTCAATTATAACCATATTTCTCCTCTATCAGTAAAACACCACAGCTCATTTTTTCCAGCTCTTACAGCAAGATGTCCATGGTCACTATTGGGTAAGAAATTTCTAAGTATCCACAGGCCACAATTCACATGAAGCCACTTCTGTATATTTTGTATGGGTCCAGAGGGAAGAAAATGAGATTGGTATTGATCTCTGAGGAGAAGCTCTTCTCAACATAATAGGCTTACTGTGAGTTATTATTTTTCAGCAGATTTGTAAGTTGCAAATCAAAAAATAACTAGGTTTTATTCTTAAAGTATTTAATCATATGAAAATGGGACCCCTCTACAGCCTCACGCACAGAGGTGGTACTAAAGGTGCTGTATCTTGTTAATCTATGAAATAGTCAAAGCAACTGCTTTTTTTCCTTCTCAAACGGAAAGTAAAATATTTTTATGAATACATAATATGTTTATATTATGCTGACATGATGATTTAAACAGATTAAAATAAATCATTAGATCTTCTATTCTGATCGTTATTGTACTCTTTGCTGCCCCTTCTCCCCTTCACAAAATGAATGTTGACTGATGGACTCCAGACCTACACCCAGTACCCCAGAATCACCCTCACCAAAACTGAAGGGGGGGCAGGGTTGGGGCGATCAACTGTAGTGATCAAATGTGGGATTTTCCCTATCTGGAACTCTCTCTCCGTTCTCCTTCTCTATTGGGACAACTCTTTTGTCTGAGGTTGATGAGGGTTTACCTCTGCTGACCTACCAACAATACTCATATCCACTGGCAGGCAGAAATTACAGCAGCCAGTTCAGACAGACCAGAGGATGTGCATCAGAGTTTCAGCAGTTCAGTTCCTCTGACCTGGTTTAACAATGTCAGTAGCTCTAAAATACAAAACTGCAATGTTACATGGACGATTTTGAGACATACAGCACGATTCCTTGAGGGCTAAGGTCTTTCATTACTGTGAGATAAAATACCCACTTACCCTACAGAAGGATCAGAAATCCATCCTGCAAGCCTGCTCAGCCAAAAAGGACTATTTATTTCTTTTTAAATTTGCTGCAGTTATAGCTCAACATTTATTTACTATCTTCCTCCCAGAACAAAGAGGAGGCACCTCAGAACCTCCCTTCAAAGGAAAGTGTGTGGCTGACAGTGCCTCCAGGGACTTAGGAGATGGAGGAGCTGCTGGACCCGCTTCCTCCTCCTCACAGCTGAGTTCACGCACACAGTCAAAACATGCTCTATTTACCACAAGCTTTACAGCTAAATTCAAAATGCAAACGGGTTTCCAACCACTTGCAAAGGTTTATTAGACCTAAAAATTATGGGTCAGGACCTGCAGGTTCTTCCTAAACTGAGCAATTCTGTTGACCTACCAAGAATACTTATATCCAAAAGGATACACAAGAATTTCTAGCTTACATAAAATTGGACCTTCAGCACTTGCGAAAGCTGGCAGGATTTATACCAAGTGCTGGACTCTCCACATTGTAAAATTCATGTATTAAGTAACCAGGACTCCAGTTTTGAGCATCTCTTAAGCACACTGTGAACGTATTATGACTACATGAGAGCATGGTATGACAACGAACTACTTCACTAAGACTTATACTTTACAGCTACATTGCTCAGCTTTATGGTGACACAACCTTTATTTTTCAGAGAGTTTATGGACCTGCTGTTTATTCAGTCTGTTGTCACTGACAAACTTTTCTCAGGTCATCACTTCTGAAAAGAACCTAGCAATGGAAAGGTTATCAGCTGCTACTTCTATCCACAGTCAACAACATGACAGTGGACAGAAGTTTGTTATATATTCTCACTGCACTGACATGTACATTCCCCAAAAGGCTGAAACGCAATGCTACAACCTTTGGGTGCCCAGATTTCTTTCTCCCAATGACTTCTTTAAGCATACAGCACTTTTCAATACCTGTATGCACTGAAAGAAGAAGAAAGTGATAGAAGAAAACAATGTTTGATTCAAGATACAGATCTGATGATCCCTTTCATATAAACTAAGTAAGAATTTTAAAAAATCTTCAGGACTAATTGCTAGAAATAATTAGAAAAAGCAGAGCACTTGAAAACACAATGTGGAGACTTTTTCTTTCACTTCCCACCAGAAGCAGCATTGATTTGGTTTGGGCTTTACACAGCACTACACACAAGAACAGCAGACCTGCTGTTAGCATTGCGTCGACAGGATTAACATAGGAGAAGCTGTGCTTGAAATTCATCACGAAATTGTAAAATGGGCTACCCATCACAAGCACGCAGACATTGCCAAAATGAATATGGGTTTGCAAGACTGGATCTTGTATATAGCAAGAACACATTCCCTTCATAGGACCAGAGACAGCTAAGTGATTTTTTTCTTTAATAATGCTAGACATTGCAGTTAATACTTAACAGTAAAGGAAATCTCAAAGGAGCCCTGGGAGTTCAGAACAGCTGAGGATCTATTTTTTTGACATTTCTTGTACTGTGTTATCAGAAAAAAATGTTGATTAGGAATTTTTTTTTCTTGATGACTGATGAATTCCTGATTTCCAGAGTTACTGAAAATAGGTATCTGTGGCTGTTCCTGAGAGAATGCATCTCAGCCCACTACCTATAAACCAGGTCCCATAAATACACAGACACCTTCAGAAACAGTAAATTCAATTATCTGCAAACAGGACTTTAATATTTAGAGTTGTGTTCAATACCATATTAATACACAGGCTTCCTCTAAACTGTTCCATACGACAAACAGCATGTGTCACCTACAGAGTTTTCCCAATTTCTTTAATTCCTCCTGCCACCTTGCTTTCATGTGTTTAAGAGAAAACTTGCATTTCTCTTTTTTCTTTCCTACTTCTTCCCTCAACAAGCTATTTAGCTTGCTTTGTATGTGATCTGTAATCAAAAAGTTAACAGCAGTAAATCCAGCAAGGCAAAGACATCTGTATCTGACCACAGGACTATTTGCTGTCTCACTAAAGAAGAATATGACATTTCAGAAAAACAAAGTTGTTTCATTCATGGGGGAAAAAAAAAAGACTGTATCTAGCTCTGTGTACTTAATACCACACACGCCCCACCATCACTGACATTCCTCCAGACACCACAGAGACAGCAAGAAATTCCTTCTTCATTTAAAAATAAGACAAAAATGGAAGTGAGCTATCTATAATTCATTAAAAGGTAGCACACAGTCATATAAAAGTGATATATATGTTAATCTGAATACTCTGTAAAACCATAATCCCCTTCTTTAGAAGCCAATAGCTGTTATAATTTTCTAACCATAGTTTTATAGCTCAGGTCCGTTACATAAAAATGTTGGATTAACAAAGGTTTCTGGGACTCGAACATTGACATTTGAATTTCAAAAGAACTCCTGCATGAAATTATAGGGTTGTACTTCCCTCTGTGGACCATACACTCTTGCCTCTTCAATAATAAAGAGATCAGCTGACACCACATAATAGCTTGCTTGCTTTTAAAACATCACTATTTCCCCAAAGTTCCCCACTTTACCTTTTTACTGACCTTAACTTTGCCCATCAAAAGATTGCTTTAGGATAGAAAGATACTCAGAATACATAAATTTGGAATACATAAACACAAGGACATAAATCTAGAAGAATGTAATCTTTCAAGGAGACTGATAATTCAGGAAAACAAATGTGTTAGCTGTAAGCACAGTTTGCTCCAAATACACCCTAGTCAAATCAACTGGCTATATTAGAGGTGGAATCACCCCACACTCCATTGAAAAGGGATGGGCAGAGACACCTCCAAAAGAGATGTCAAATTGTATCTGGGTTATAAGTCTGTGGAGGTAAACAGTGCTCCTGGTTAACTGAATGGAAACTGCACAGCAGCTAATACTTTCTGGACACTGCAGCGAGATGCCAGAAATTACTTGGGTTGAATCCATGGCTCTCTGCAGATATAAGCATATGCCCTCCAACATCCAATGAGTAAAAAGCTGACATCACATAAACTCATCTGGAAAAGTACAAGAGCATGTTCCATGAAACTTATTTAAGAAAACTCTGTCACTAGAACAAATTAAGACAGTCACATCCAGGCTTTGCAAAGCTACAAAGGGAGACGCAATCCAGGGAAAAGGCACTGGGTTAAACATCTCAGACAACTGCAGAAATTTAGAAGTGCTCTGAACGTCCTGCCATTTGAATTTCTTCTCCTTAGCATGACAGTTCAGTGAACACAACCTTTTTGTTTGGACATTTAGCATTCTATTCTCTGCACCACTTTAACCATGTACCTTTTTGATTAGTTCCTACTGGGAACAGCACAGGGAAGGAAACAGCAGCAGAACGCAAGTGCCAAAGCTGGCTTCCTCCGGGTACCTGCCATCTCTCTCAGCACGTATATCATAGAATTTATTTTACAGGAGGAATGATTTTAAAAAAGCCTAGAAAGTGACTTAAGCAGACTTACAGAAAGCCTTTTAGATAAACTAGGATCAATAACAGAAAACATTTATGGCCCAATGGTGTCTCCTCATCTAACCTGCTTCAATGGAAACTATGTGGGCAAACGGTTGTTCAGCCCCTCTCACTTTGCTGTCAGTCCAAGACATTCTTATTTACAGTCATGAGCTTTGCCTATGATATTCCAGCTTGGCAAAGCATTTAATTATCATCTAGTTTAATCTCTAAAACAAAACACTGGGGGTAATATGTGCTTAAGTAAGT